CCAGTGTTTCACAGTGACAGGTCTGACACTCTGTGACTGTTTAGCGTTCATCAGAGTGACAGGTCTGAGGGACGACACTGTTCTTATGTTGGGTTGTTTTGGCGTACAGTGATCTGTAACGCCTACCGGAGGGGAGGAGTTTGAACAGTTTGTGTCCGGGGTGTGAGGAGTCTGCAGGGATGCTACCTGCCCGTTTTCTGACCCTGGACCGGTTCTCGATGGGGGGGGCAGGTCAACACCAATGATTTTTTCTGCAGTCCTGATTGTCCGTTGCAGTCTGTGTCTGTCCAGTTGAATAAATGATCTTTAATATTATTCCAAAGAGGATAAAAACCTTTGTTCACAGGAGGTTGAAATCCCTGGTCCATGTCCTTTCTTATTTAATATTTTTCCAAGACTTCATCTTTTATCTCACAGACATAATCAGACATAATCTCTTCTGGTCCCAGTATTATCTATTAGGCTGACTAAATTGATGTTTATTCTTCTATCCTTTTATCAAACCCCCGTCACAGCTCTGCAAATGCCTGTGGTCGCTTCTTCCTGTCATGACTGTCGGATGTGATATTATCTGGATGGAGGCAGAGCGCTATCGACAGACAACAAGACAAACACTGCGTGTGGAAGCAGCGCCGACAGATCCACCATGGTAAATGTCAGCTTTAATTGGAATCCTATCGTTTAATAATTGCCCGTCAAGACCAAATAAACAGCATGACTCCAAATGACAGGATGTGGCGCTAATGTGCACCCTTAGGGCCATTCAGGCATCTCTGCTATTAACAGCTGCTGAGGGAGGACAAATACAGAGTCAAAAATGACTGGAAGGGCACTCCTTGCTACAAACAAGGTGATGAGGGTTTAGGTAAGCAGTAGCATACCAAAGATTAGTGCAGATTCACTATAAGTTTATTCTGTGTGAGAGCATTCATCTACGAACCACCAAAGGACACACAAGAGAGCTAAAGATCTAGTGTGGCAACAATAGCAGCCTGGTGCTTAAGTCAAAACCTAAATATCTCAACTATCTATCGAATAGGTAGCCATGCAGCTTTTACAAATCCTCAAACCCTCTCTCTGTGTTCATTGCTAAAATGGAGAACATTATAAACATTGTACCTGCAGAAAATTATCTTAAGAGCCAGACAAATCTGCAAGCTCATATTTTGTTTGTTCTAGCAGATAAAGCGGTCCTGCCTTCTGCCCAGACAGATTTTTATCAAATCTGATTCACTCAGGCCGATCACAGCCATTTATCCAGAAAGAGGTGAGTTTATGGTGACTGGCAGGAGCACTGTAGATATATTATTAGAACACATCCATTCAATGTTGAGCATTTTGTAATCACTATCATGTGGCTATTTTACAAACTGGACACCAGATTATAAAATGGTTGTTGGAAGTACCTAGCTAGCAATAACTAGCTTTGCAGTCTAAATACCTTGCGTTTGGTTGTTTTGATTGCTTGTAGTATGCAAAGACATTTACGCACATTCTGAAATTAACATTCAGTATGTTGTTGTCATCAGCTCTCAATGAATGAAGGAAACACAGTAGCAGATAAAGTCAGATCCTCAACTGAACTGTAGGTAAATGAATTAGACATTAACTCAGCTTACAAATCCTGTAATTGGAGATCTCCTAGCTTGCAACACAAACAGGCCCAGCAGTAATTGGGTTTGTGCACACTCTCTAAAAACAGCACTATTACTTACCCTTAGAAAGAAAAACATTCACAAATCAAGGTCCACCTACTTGCTTTTGGGGAGTTTAAATTTTACTAAAAAAAAAAGATTTTTCCCAGAGAGCAATAGTATGAAAAGTGGGCAACTTTATCTGCTAAGGAGGAGCCTTTGATAAAGTGAAAGTTCATAAGAGTGACTGCAAATACCTTGTGGCAAAATTGTTTTGTTGCTGTTTCAAATGTGACATGTATGTGTATGTGTATGTGTGATTTCTGGGATATTTTACACCATGTCTTGACTATAGGCACTTCAAGCTCGTGCAAATTTTTTGCCGGACACCATTAAGGACATCCCTCGGGTTGGGAATGAGCATAATATGGATAATTATGACCAAGTGACAGAGAAAAGATAAAGCAAGAAGTTTGGCACACTGACCTATTGATGTGATTGATGTGAACCTGATGCAGGTGAAAGACAGGTACAAACCAGATTACAGCCAAGCAGAGAGTCCAAGTGCGAGAGATTAGTGAGAATTTGAAAGGGGAGAAGGGAGAGGATTTAGCAGGATGAGGGAGAGGACAGGACGGAGGATTATGGGAGACAGAGCCTGGATCCCAGAATAATCCTCTCAGAATACTGGGCTTTATGCGCCATGGGGCAGAGGCCAGTTTGAGATTTTAAATTGTCATTGCAATCATACACTGTCGTTTGATCATGCTGAAAACACTTCTCATAATGTGGTTATCAATGTGTGTTTGATGACTTCTATAGTTTCGATCTTTGACCAAATAGACAAATACAGACTGCACACACACACACGCACACGCACACGCACACACACACACACACACACACACACACACACACACACACACACACACACACACACACACACACACACACAACAGCAACAGGCGCATTCATTCCATCTGCCTTAATCTGGAAAGCTGGTTTGATGCTACGTGCCTGTATGTGAAGCTCTAAGCCCCTCCCTCTTTCCATGCTCGTTGTTCTAAATTTGGTATTGCCATGGTTACATAAGATTCAGGGTCAGGAGGTCAGTGGCTCTGCAGGCAGACACAGGATGGATGTGGGGCTTTTTCATGGCAACAGAGGAGCCGGATGATGGACATAATATAACCCATGAAAAGTGGCAGATGAGGATCAGGAAGGAAACCATCAGACTGACAAAAAAACACATAAATAGGAGGAAGTGGAAGTTTACAGCCAGAGAATAAAATAACGCAAACTACTTTCTGCACGTTTCCCAGGATTGTTTTTTAACCTACATTCACAAAGAAGCAGTACAATATTGCTTTACATTTATTTACTCATACATTAATTCCTTTGTTTGTCTTAAAGTGAATGAGGCAGTATTCATAGAAAGCTATAGATTAAATAATTTGTAATGTGAGTACACAGGAACAATGGAGAAAGTAAAAAAAAAAAAAAAACATAAATCATGGATACTGTGCAAGATGTGTTTGTAAAAGTGTGAGCTTTGATTTTAGAATGATTCAGGACAAAAATATTTGAAGCGGAAAAAGAAAGAAAGAAAGGAGGGGACACACCACGCATGCACACTAGAGGGAGGGGAAAGGGAGGGGTGTGAATGCTCTGTGTTGCTCCACTAACCTACTTTCCATAATCTCTCTCTTCTCCTCATTTCATAACTGTGCTTATGTAACGTAATACGTTCGTCATCTTTACCACGCTTGCAAATCGATTATTTTCATCTGCACTGTCATCAATGCTTTTGGTCTCTGTGACAGAGGTTCTGTCTTTGTCTAACAAAGGGAAACATTTGAAAGAAGATACATTAATACTGGTACATACATACATACAAATAAATATATATATATATACAAACATACAAATACTTACATACAAACATACAAACATGCAAATAAATAAATAAATAAATACATACATACATACATACATACAAACATACAAATAAATAAATAAATACATACATACATACATACTTACAAACATACAAATAAATAAATACATACATACACACATACATACAAATAAATAAATACATACATACATACATACATACATACTTACAAACATACAAATAAATAAATAAATAAATACATACATACATATTTACAAACATACAAATAAATAAATAAATACATACATACATACATACTTACAAACATACAAATAAATAGATACATACATACACACATACATACAAATAAATAAATACATACATACATACATACATACATACATACAAACATACAAATAAATAAATAAATAAATACATACATACATACATACATACATACAAACATACAAATAAATAAATAAATAAATACATACATACATACAAACATACAAATAAATAAATACATACATACACACATACATACAAATAAATAAATACATGCATACATACATACATACATACATACATACATACAAACATACATACTTACAAACATACAAATAAATAAATCAATACATACATACATACATACAAACATACATACTTACAAACATACAAATAAATAAATCAATACATACATACATACATACAAACATGCAAATAAATACATACATACATACATACAAACATGCAAATAAATAAATAAATACATACATACAAACATACAAATAAATACATACATACATACAAACATACAAATAAATAAATACATACATACATACATACATACATACACACACATCATTTTATTTCACGTTTATATTGACATATTGTGGTTAATTGAGTAAAAACCAGTTGAAAGTAGAATAAATGATTTTCTTAGCATGCTTTGGAAAACCTAAAACTAATTTACTTGTTTAACAGGGACAATTGCAACTAACATTTCTTGGTGTGGTGATTTTTGCATTTGGCCACCATAAAGGGATGCATCAAAAAATAAAGAGAAATTTGATTAAAGCTGCATTTTCTCTCTTTGCTGATAGTGATGTCTATTAGTTTGTCTGTGTGTGTGTGTGTGTGTGTGTGTGTGTGGGGGGGGGGGGGCATTCCCTTTAAAGTATGGTTTAATATCTCTATTTACATTTTCTGCTTGTACACTATAATGATGACTTTTATAGAGAGCTTTTAATGTCTTTCTCTAACCTAAATTGTCTCTTGATGGAGGAGCAGTTGTGGGGTGGGGGGGTGGAGCTTATTATTTAAGGGTAAATAACTCCAGTGACATAAAACTCTAGTCTTGTTATTAAATAGTTCCCACGCCGTTTGACTGTCGGTCTGTACTGACACACTGCCACACTTTCCCACGCACGCGAGTCCTTCTGAAAGCGCGCGGAGGGTGGCGCGCGCGTCAGCTCACGGGACACGAGGCGGGATGAGGAGGATCTTGTGTTGTCCACGCGCCGAAACTAGGTTACAGCGAGCCGCAGAGAGGAGAAGAGAGCTGAAGAACCAGGAGCTGCTGCGTTACTGTTGTGTTTAGTCACCACAGCACCTCTGAGACTGCCAGAACAGTCAGAAAGTCGCTAACTTAATCAAAGCGCTGCTTTTATTTGTTTGAGGTCTGCTCGCGAAGAAAAGGGCAGAAAATCCATATGAGGATTTGCTGTTGTGACAGTTTTCAGCTGCTCCTGTTAGGAGCGAATACGTGCGCGTCGTTGTCAGTGTGTCTTTGCTTCATCTCCAACTGGAGTTGTATGACTTGAAGAGTTGAAAATATTCTACCGCCATCATGAGAGGTGAGTTCAATATTATTATTTTTTTACGATTGTTTGAATTACTCCTTGCCTGGTGTTTGTCAATAACTTTTTTTTTTTTTTGCGTTGAGTTTTGATGGAGGCACTGCTTTGAGACAGAGTCCGAAGTGCGTAGTCTGCAGGCTTTAAGGGAATAAACGCCATGGAGAAACATAAATCCTTCTCGAAGTTTTGAATGTGTTTCCTTAAGCACCTTTAAAGTCTTTAGGGCGTATTTTATTATATTTTCAAGAATATTCACATATTGACCATTTTCGCAAAACACGTTTTAAAAGGGAAATGTTCAACTTGTGTACGTATTTGTGTAAACTGTAGACATTTAGAGCACTTGCTTCGTTTTGCGTGAGGAAAGAGGAATGCGTTGAAACGGTGTTACTTTATTTCACTGTTTAGCAGCTCTGGTTATGTAAGACAGAGAGGGGAGGGGAGGGGAGTGAGCGGAGTGATTCAGAGGCTGTCAACCCGCACCAATATCTTCTGACAGCACTTGTTTACGTGAATAAATACCCATATTTTTAAGAATTGTTTTCAATTTCTATATAGGCCTATAATTTAATAGACTTTGCTTTTGACTTTTGTATGATCCAATCAATTTCACTGTTGACATATGTTGAGTTTTCGCTTTTGGCATGTTTTTTGTCTTAAAGCGGTGGCCATAGTTTTTTTTTTTTTTTTTTTTTTTTTTTTTTTTCCTCCCACTGTGTGATTTTGATAATTAGTTTTCATTAGTATTTATGTTTTCATCGTCAGCAGTATGGCGGAGAGAGAGATGAGGTGTTCCATTGACCTAGTTCTGTCATTGAAGATTACAGCTATTGTGTGTGTGTGCGTGTGTGTGTGTACTGGGGGTGGAAGGGCATGGTTTGTCGTCATTACTGATGAGACATTTTTGATAATTTAAATCAGTCGGCAGGGCAAAATGCTCCTCTCTGAAACACTGCAGATATGATCAGCACTAGAGCTGATTATTTTTAATGCACTCTGCAAGATGCAGGTGCCTTTAAATATAGGCCTATAGATATATTTTTTAAAGATATTTTTTAATGAGAACGATTTCTAGCTCAAGTCGGCCACATCACAGTGAAAATGTGTTTTTGCTGTTATGTTGTCCAAGCAAGCACTGCTGTGACAAGCAGGATATGGGCACAGCAAGCCCACACGTAACCATACAGCACAGCAGGGTTCAGTTAAGCTCAGTTTCCTCTGCCAGCTAAGGTTACTTACACCAACCAGAGCGTGTGTCACTCCAAATAAGCACCGATTTTCTTAGAATAAAAAACATGTTTTTCCCAATGTAATACACAGTTTTCATTGAACGCTTTATGAGGGAAATTAACTATAGGCAAGAGTATGAATTTCACAAGACATTTATAGTTGTATTCTTCCTGAGTTGCCTTAATACCTGATACATTCCAAGCAACAAAGCTGTTGCACTTTTGCATAGGAGTTATTCTTGTCACCTGTTGCACAAACAGGTTAGACAGGTTAGATGCAACATGATCTACTAAACAAACTTGAATAAAACCCTAAGATTTTATGCCTAGGTGCATTAGTTGTGTGCAGAGCTGAGGACGAAATACAAGTGTTGGAGCTCAGTGAGCTTGGGATCAAAGGTACAGCAGAAAGAGGGATGGCTGCACCCCAAGGCCACTGCTGTGCTCAGCGTCTATCAGTTTAGTGTGCAGCCTTGGGGAAGTTCACATGGAGCAACAGTATGTGTCAAGGTGCCCCTTCTCTCTGACAACTGCATGCTAAGATTACATTCCCCTTATCTATAGCTTTAACTCTTTACCCTGCCTGCATGTTAAACAAAAGATGAATGTCAATGGACCTGTGCTCTTTGGCATATTTTGACTATCAGGGACACATTTCTATTTGCAGCTCCATAATGTTCATATTGACTCCAAAGGATTAGATTTCTGTTTTTGTGGTGTAGTATCTTAAGGCAAAGTCGTTCTGACTTATTTATTTTTGTAATCTTTGGTTTTTATTTGCAAAACATGCGTCATGGAAATCTTAACATGTGGGCCTAAAGAAATTTAAACTCAAGGTGACTGTGATTGCAAAATGTGTTCCTGTGGTAAGAAGTATCATTCAAACTTACAGGCTGTGATCTGTATTCGTAAATCTAGATTTGCTTTAGCTGCAGAGGCTAACTTGGATCTGGGCTGGGTGTTGTATACATAACATGATCAAGTAAATGTACTTCTCCTCTGATCAATGGTGAGGGATTAAAGAGGCACAGTGTGTGAATCCAGGTTACTTTGCAGCCATACAGCAGTTTTGATGTTCAGCCTGCAAATTTCAACATCATATACAAAGTGAGAAAGAAGTATTTATAATAATGTCAAGGGAAACAAATATTTTCAAGGTTTAGTTTTATCAATATAGCAAAAGAGCCAATCATTTTATTATCAATAATATGATATCCTATTATATAAAACTGAAATAATGCAGGAAAAAATGAAAATAAAATTGCACAAAGAATTGTTGCAGTATCTTCATCTGGTTTGCTTTACAGCCATACTGCTAATTCATTTTTAGCATGTGTACAAATGGAAATGCTATGAATATGGTGAGAGAGATAGTTTCCAGCAAAAAGGGAAAACATTTTATTAAAAGTGTTCAACATGAGAAATATGATTTTCTCCAGCCAAATGTCTGGTTTGGTCTTTTTATTTATACACCATGACATGCCAATGAGACAGTGTAAATATTTTATTTTAGTTGAGGCCTCCTCTTCCTGTTTTTTGACTGCAGCATTTCTAATTTTAAATTGTTTGTTAAACATTACTCTTTTGTCTAAAAGTACTTAAGCAATGGCTTCAGTTCAGAGAAATGTTTAACGCATGCTCCTTATGCTTATCTTGCTGAGCAACTACCTCAATCTGCGTTGCATCTTTAAAGTTTTGGGGTCTATGTGAGGCCATATTATATTATATGTGTACTCTGTACAGGAGAGAAAAAAGCATTTACTTTTCACATACTGTAGAGGAACATGGAGGAATGTAGAAAGAGAGAATAGAAGACATATTTATCAATTTAACTTCAAACCCTGACGTGCAAAACCTTCCAGCTGGTAATTTCGTGGGTAAGAAGCCTTTTAAAATGTAGGTTAGTATACAGTATGTCAGGTAAAAGTAAAGTGCAAAGCAAATAGGACCTTGGACTGTGTTTGATTAGCTGGGATAAGAGGGCAAAGTCTCCCTTGCAGAGGATTTACAGCAGTGCTGAAGAAAAGTGCTGACCACCATAAACTGACACACTGACTGAGTAACACAGGAAGCGATTTAAAATCATCATTTTTGATTTGAAAGGTTCTATTAGTGTAACCATGTATGTCAAAAAAGACGTCTCTTTAAAATGAAGAAAAACTGGATGGCTATTTTAACATTGGCACTGCACAATAAATCTTCCTTTTCATACAAACATTTTTGCATTTATGCTTTAAATCTATTATGCACCTGGCCAAGCTGACGTGTTAAAATAGTCATATTGGTACCATAACTATGTTACAACTTGTGTTTTCTTCTTTGTGTGAGGCATTTTATGTAAGAACAAATTGTCATTGAAAATCTCGAAATTATATTCTCACAGATAGAGCGAACACTCCAGTGCAAATAAAAGTTGTGCAACATTTATTTATCTAAATGTTGTGCAACATTAATTTATCTAAATGTTGTGCCACATCCATTTCCCAATAGATAAGAGGAGCAGGAGGAATTTCTGGGCAGCACACTGCACCAGAGTAAAAATAGCGTTATGGTGAAGGACATACGCTGCTGAAATTTCACTCAAATACTTGACATGCTGTAACAAGTTGAGCGCTAGGCTACTATTAGCTACATTTGTTCCCTCTGCGGCAGAGTACTGTACTGGATGTTTCTTAAAGTATTTCCAGATGTTGCACACATTGTAAAATCTACAGTGGAGCAGTTTGGTCCTGCCAGTTTCAACTGGCCATCCATCTTAATAATTATCAAACCTTACATTGTTTTCCATCCAAAACAAAACTCCTCCCTGCCTTTGCTTAAGCCAGATTTAGTTCAACCTAAAAAAAAATAGGCAGAAACCAGGTTGTGTTCCATGTGAGACTGGCACCACAAGTACCTCCCCTTTGCTGAATGGGAAACTGTGTCAGTGGAGCAGCTCCTGCTCTCTGGGCCTGACTGTGCTGCTCAGCTGACTGGCAGGTGAGGCAGCAAGTCACAGACGAAGCCGCCCACTCAGCAGCCAATGGGAGCGCAGGGGGGTGAGGGAGGATCATCACACTGTTGCCAAGACAACCACCTTTGAATGAGTGTGTTCATGGAATGCGGCCAGACGGCGGTTATATAACAGGCTGACGGGTGGGGGTTGAGGCTCCGGAGGGGGAGCGATAAAGGGAGCAATGGAGAAAGGGATTTTTTTTTCCATTGCCTTTTATTTATTTATATCCCTCAGTTGTGTTGGGTTATCCGCTAGGAATTCAACCTAACTGAAACACTCAAACATGTCACCTTCTCTGCACAGGCAATCTTTGTGGAAGGAGTATGTTGAAGGACTTTTGGGGGAAAGTCAGTCACAGACCATTTTAGCTTTTCCTCATTGTGTGATGCATTTATGTCACACACTGTGACTCATGTGATTGGTTGGTTGTCAGTACTTCATACAAGAGCATTTGGAAAAGAGCAATTTTCTGAAGCGCAGTGATGGCCGGTATAAGCCATCACAGCGATTTACAGGTTACCTAATACCCTGTGTGACATAACAAAGGTGGTTTAGGGATTGTTTGGCACCCTGCAGCCTGAGCTAAATCAAATTTTGCACACAGTTGACACAGTAACAAGCAGATGTTTTATGTAAACAATTTTAGGCTTCAGCACAACAGTATGCCTTTGAATACTTGGAGAAGGAGAGTCCAAGAGAGAGTGAGAGAAGTGAAACTTTATAACCCCGGGCCTCAGCTAATGCAATTGACCTGCTATTCTGGGCTTGAGGAGGCCCAGCTACTTAGATAAACAACGTAATGAAAAGAACAGGCTGTTCCTTGGTAAGAAGGCTCAGGCTTCTACTATAAAAACAAGGTGTACGATGTATAATCACTTTGCTCTGTCAATCGCAGGATCCACTGTGTTTGGATACTTTGTTTATGTCTTCCCAATCCTGCAGAATTATCACATTGCCATAATGATAAGCGTAATTTCAGACATTTAAATACACAAACAACAGATTTATCTGTCATGTCAAATTTGAATTTCTTGTCAGTAACTTTTAAGTGATGCCAGCTTCAATGGGAAATGTTTCATACAAGGCAGTGACTGTTTCTCAGTTTGATTTAAAACAAAAACAAAAAACAGTGTCAATATTGTTTATAATAGGTTGCCCACTTAATTAAATATGACATAGGTGTGTTACTGACAATATTTGCTACGAGCATAGTAGGCATAAAAAGTAAATGTCAAATGTTTCTAGAAGGAGATTGAAATGCCGAAGCCTGTATTTGCAATCCTATTGGATGGAGGCCAAATGTATATTTGAATGTTACATAGTTGAGGGCTGTATATTTAATGTAGATGGCAATTGGGTGACAGTTGAAATGTATAAATTCGTCAAACATCCTCCTCACTCGTTATCTTTAATTATTGATTCGTCTGACAATAATTGTCATGAGTACTTGTACTTGTCTGAGGTATTGAAATAAATATAGTATTCTGTGTTTTGAGATACCGAAGTAATTTGTGTTTGTTTAACTGTTTTCTTCTATTTAACTAATTTTTCTTAATTTATCTCTCGTTCCAGCTCAAATAGAGGTGATTCCGTGTAAAATCTGTGGGGACAAGTCTTCAGGAATTCATTATGGTGTCATCACCTGTGAAGGCTGCAAGGTGAGCTATCATCAATCTCCCCCACCTGGTTTTATTTACATTACATCTTAATCCCCAAATCTTAAGCACTGATTCACATTTTATTTTGATGTTTCTTGTCTGTAGGGATTCTTTCGCCGCAGCCAGCAGAACAATGCTATGTACTCCTGCTCACGACAGAGAAACTGTCTTATTGACCGGACCAACCGTAACCGCTGTCAGCACTGCAGGCTGCAGAAGTGTCTCACTCTGGGCATGAGCCGTGATGGTGAGTTCAGCCACTCGATCTATATTTAATTAACTCAGAGTTTCCATCTCACACTTTTTTCTTATCACTGAATGGGTCATGTTATGTTTGGCCTAGACCATACCTTCTTGAATGTTTAATTTTTGCATTTACACTCTCCTGTTGCAGCGGTCAAGTTCGGCAGAATGTCCAAAAAGCAGCGTGACAGCCTGTACGCAGAGGTCCAGAAGCATCAGCAATCCCAGGAGTGCGCAGGAGTCGGTGCCCAGGAGGAGAACAGTGACTTGGCCGACTTTGGCCGCAACTACAGAAGAGGCTCCTGCACGGCACTCAGCGATCTGGATGACATCACAACGATGCCAGAAGGGATGCTCTTTGACCTGCCACTGACTCCAGAGGATGCAGGAGGAGAGTACTGCAACCTGGACATGCTGGGCAGCAGCGCAGGCAGCGGCTCATCCTCTCAAAGTTCACCTGAACAGACCAACTTGGACTTCGTAGATGGCAACCACAGCATCAAGCATGAGTACCAGCTGTTGCACGAATCTGGACTCTTCTCACATGCTATTTTCAACCCACTGCCTGAGGGCTGCTCCCTGCTTGAAATAGGTGTGTATAAGTCCTGCAGATCCCAACTCCTTCGTAAAGATCTCAGCAATCAGAGTGCAAATTCAACAGAAAAATAAATATGTAATAAATCTTTCGTTTTTTTCAGAGCGCTTAACCCAGAGTGTGGTGAAGTCCCATATTGAGACGAGTCAGTACAGCACAGAGGAGATAAAGAGGATGGCATGGACCTTGTATAGCCCTGAAGAGACACGCTCATACCAGACCAAGGTACATGAGAAACAAGTATAAGACAGTAGAAACTCAATAATACACTTTATAAGGTTCCAAAAAATCTGGACTCTAAACAACCTTAATCTGCGACACAGAAACTGTAAAGTCAAACTTCAAAACATGTTTATATCTTTTTCTAAATGATTAATAATCTTGGATTATTTAATTATACAATTAAATAAATGTTTTTTTTAAGACTTGCTACAATTTAATCGATAAACTTGTAGAGAGTAACTCACTTAAACATGAAGCAGTTCTTCCCTTTTATCATCTAAATTCATTATTACTCAAAGGGTTTGTAAATACAAACATTTCTATCACACAAGGGGATGCAACAAATACTTTCAAACTGGACAACAGGAAATCCTAATCTTAAACAGAGATAACACAACTAGACAACTCTCGATCTATGATGCTTGTCCGGCGTTGCAGTTCTTTTAAAGCTTTTGTTTTTCTCTTGCAGTCAGCTGAGGTTATGTGGCAACAATGTGCCATTCACATCACCAACGCAATCCAGTATGTGGTAGAGTTTGCCAAGCGCATCACCGGCTTCATGGATCTCTGTCAGAATGATCAGATTATTCTCCTTAAAGCAGGTCAGTCCATGACACACACACACACACACACACACACACACACACACACACTGCAATCTTAAATCAGACCTGTGTATAGCCACAGGTCAGGAGCTGTTTTTTAACAACAGATGTGCCTCCAGCAGGAAGCTCTTGTCTGATGTTTATTACTCAGCCGGCTTTTATGCGTGACAAAGATAACTGTTGTCATATGAGCAGTATATTACCCACAATTTGGTAGCTGACTTCACAGAGTTAAAATCACATGCATGCAGAGTGACCTGAAAACTTGTTCTGCCTCTGAAGAATGATAGCCCTTGTTTAAACCGTGCTGCTCTTTCTGTGCTACCATTTTAGGTCATCCTGCTGTAAAGTGTGTGAACTAATGAATCCCAAGGGCCTATATGAAATTTATTTATAGATAAACTTGAAAACGATGCTTTCTTTTCAACAACCAGAACTATAAATTAGCCAGTCAAATAGTACATTTGTGGATTTGAATCACAGCCAAGGTATTTTCTTCCAAAGAGCGTTTCTGTAAGTTGTGAAAAGTCACCACACTCATACATGACAACCTAATCATGACAAACACCAAAACAATGTGGAAAGATGACAGGTGGATGATTTTAGGCTCAGGAGAAGTTATCAACACAAACAAACAGGAACACATTCCTGCAAGTATCACTGCTGTTACTGAAACACTGATCACAAACCACAACATCACATCATCACCTGTAATAATAAAAGAACGCTTCCCTAAAACAGCCAAGATACATGCACACACATTTCCTCCTCGGTTGTTGTTCTGTTCCTCTTTGGTTTCTTTGATATTGTGTATAAAAGATGACATTTTAGTCAGAATTCAGAATTCAGTATTATTTTTATTTCTTTTTTTTCTGCCAATTTAAATGTGGTTCTTCTGTTACTGTGTGTCCTCAGGCTGCATGGACGTCCTTCTCATCCGTATGTGTCGGGCCTACAACCCCATCAATAACACTATGCTCTTTGATGGGAAGTTTGCCATTGCTCATCTGTTCAAAGCACTTGGTGAGTCATCACAATGACAATCTCTCTTTCTTAGGAAGTATAAACTTAAGAAAGGGGGGGTAATTGATTTCAAGGTATTTTTGTCTGTATTATCTGTATCCAGATCAACACAGTCACCTGTTTCTGTCCTAAAGCTGACTTTCTTTTTCTTTCTCTCCCTCCCCCAGGCTGTGATGACCTTGTGAATGCAGTTTTTGACTTAGCTAAAAGCCTGAGTCGTATACAGATGTCAGAGGAAGAGATGGCTCTCTTCAGTGCTGCTGTGTTGCTCTCGCCAGGTGAGATCATATTAAATTAATAAATTGAAACATTTTGTTTTAAATAGGAACACAAACAGGAACACACAACAACAATGGGGGGCAGGGGAATGCTCTAGATAATAGCCTCTTTACTACATCTAAGTATGGTATCGAAGCTATTTAATACTTTTTAGAAAAAAGAGAGTCTACATTTCTTTTAAAAATGACGTACAGGAAAAACATGTTTAAATGAGCTTCAGATTTGCATATTGTGAGATGATAATTCATAACGCACCTTTATTGGCAATGTTGCACCCATGTTGACGGCACAGTATTTGAAGTGGCACAGTAAAGCCTGTCTGACACTTCCTCATGGATCATATTAATGCTTTTGTGTATTATAGTGCAATATATTCATTGTTTGCATTATTTACTTCGCAATGATGATTTTATAAAGCAACACATATATTTTTGTATTCCTCCTTTGCAGCTAAGACATTGATTTTAGTTCAAAACAGTGAAGTATGAAAATCATCATACAGAGAGTGTCAGACAGGTTTTTTAAATAGTCCCTGCCTGATTTAATGTCTTTGAAAAATGTGTTGTATTTTTCAGAAACTTTCAGAAATTAAGTATAAGCAAAGTGCCAAAGTTATATACCAAAACACATGTACTGCTCGTTACATTTTCTATTCTTCTTCTCGATGACTATACATTGTGACCTGTAGAGTTTCAAATTGTAGGCATGAAGACACTTAGGGCAACTTAAGGAAATATATTTGTGTGATTTCACAGCTCATGCTGTTTTAAATGTGCTATGCAAATAGTATTGACTTAACTTGACCCGACTATAATTTCCCTCAGACCGACTCTGGCTGACAGATGTTCAGAAGATCCAGAAGTTGCAAGAGAAAGTCTACGTGGCTCTGCAGCGCTGCCTACAAAAAGACGGTGCATCAGAAGAGAAGCTAGCTAAGGTAAAAGACATCACATTGCCTTTACTGTAAAAAAAAAAAATAGACATTATGTTTTGTTTCACTACTGTATTCATATTCATGTTTATTTTGTGTTAACTCTTCCTGCTCTTTTGTCTTCCCCCTCTAGATGGTGGCAAAGCTTCCCATTCTGAAATCCATCTGCAACCTTCATATTGACAAACTGGAGTTTTTCCGTCTGGTTCACCCTGAGACGGCGTACACCTTTCCCCCTCTGTATAGGGAAGTTTTTGGCAGTGAGATCACCTTCCCAGACTCCACAGAGGGCTAGAACTGTTTAGCTAATTAGAATGTTTTAAATAGAAACACTGAGGTGTAGGGAGGGGGAGAAGAAAATGTGGCAACCAGCAGCTCAATGACAATCCTGCACGCTACACTTTAGGACACACTCCCCTCACCTCCTGCCCTGCAAGCTACTCCGATCAGCTTCGACGTAACACCACAGGAACTGCTGCTGGCTACTCAGCACATGTTTCCTCTTTTTAACAGAAATAACTCATGAGTAGCCTACATGATTTGTATTCTCAAAACTATTTTTCTATGAGGAGACGTTAAACCTCTCATTCAGTTGAATTCCTTTATTATATAAATGTCAGCGTTTCTCACAGTTCCTGTAAGCTATTGTTGAATGTAACCCTTTTCCCTTTAACCGCTCAGCACAGCCCAAGGCTTGTTGTAGAATGTACATACTTAAAATCCTCAGCCACTTTGTGGAGATTTGCAGTAATGATACCTGTGTCTGTTGTCAGTCTAGTAACATATTCTTGTTTCATTCTATCTTTTTGGTAGCGCCCATATTTTGCAGTTTTGTAATGAATGAACAAACTGTTTAAAGGGACCATGATCAAACTCACAAACAGACAGGGTTTTTCAAACTGCATGAGTCTGCCATTGTGCACCTACAATCTTTTGCACACAGCACAAAATATAGCACTTATCCTGATCTTTGTAGAAAATTTCTACTGGCACACCCTGGACACTGATATACCTAGGTGGGCTCTTTATTTTTTTAATACAGTCAGTGACCTCAGTCCTTATTCCTTTTCCCTATGCAAATGCCACTTAGAGAGAGTGAGAGTAATCACAGAGCTTTCGTGAAAGTATTCCTATAAGTTATTTTTTACCTTAAACACAGTATAAAAACATCCATACAATCCTGTAAGATGAGAACAGCCGTGAATTCATTACGAGTGAGAGGGGGGAAATCTTGTGATTGTGCTCGTGTCTCTAACAGACACTGCCTGCCCAATCTTTGGGGCTCTGGGATAGAAAGATTGAAAAGAAACTTGCGCATAATTAGCACTTATGAGTCCTCTTGAATCCAAAATATACTCTTGGCACACATTTTTGCGGGTTTGCACTCCAACTGCCATCTGTGAAACCAATTTTAACCAGTCACAAATGCTAGATACACCCTCCCACTGTAGATCAGCGACCTGAACAAGGTGGGCAAACTGACCCCTGCTGGGTTTCAGTATGTGCTCTTATGTGCACCACAGCCCCCTTCACAGCAAAGTGCCATTACACAAACCATCCAGCAGCATCTCAACCAGCAGTTTTCAAAAGACTTTTGGAGGAAAAAACAAAACATAAAAAGAAATGAGCTGAGAGTTTAGGGTTGAAATAGTGCCACCTTTGTGATTGGGCAAAGAAGTGGGGCATAGAAAAGAAAGTGAACAGGTGGGTGCCGGTATTAATTTAGCTCCTTTGACATCAGTTAGAGGGGATTTACTGTTTGCACCAACTCTCACTGATTCAGGGTCGCAGGCAGTGCTGTCCAAGGCAGCCATGGTGTTCTGATTGGAGAATTATATCTTTGTTCTTTCACCCCTGCTCCCTAACTACCTCACCCTCCACAAACACTACACGGCAAAGCAAAGGGTTGACAGAGCCATCAGCTACCCCCCTGAGTTAGTATTTATGCATTGATGCTGGAGAGCGTCACTTCTTTAGTGACATTTTAAGGCCAGTGATTACAATTTAAAATATATAACTATGCTCTTAAAACTGGACAGAAGACTAAAGCAAAAGAAAATGCTGGATCTAACTATACTTCTATGAGACTGCTTTTCTGACAGCAGTCCATACCTTGAGGCCCTTGATGACCTACTTAAACAAAGATCTATGCGGAGTAAGGTCTCTGGAGACACACAAGGGTGTCTTCAGATGAAACCTTAATAGTAAGGGGACATATTAGATTTCTGACAAGTGTCTTTCTGCCATTATCTTAAAGAAGCTGTTTTTTTTTTTCATTTTAAGACAATCACGACGTATGTTTTATGTCTATTTAATATGTCAGCCAGGTTTGCACTGCTGGAACAGTGCTGTTTGCCATACTACAGTATATATTAACTCTTGTAAGTATGAAGGGTTATTACCCTTTTCTGGGTACGCAAGCCAGTGGCATGGTGGGATTGTGCAATAATGTCTTTCCCATCATTCTCAGTATGTTGGGCCTTTGTTGCCATGTATTACGGATAATGATTCATTAGCACTCCAGCACAGTTAACCTTGCAGTACAACAAGTAACCTAATTTAAAATACAACATACCAAAAAAAAAAAAACAGCCAACCACTACACAGATCAGCTGTCAGCTGGCATGGCCAGATGACACTTGGAGATTGTAACAAAGTGCAATACTTTGTGTGTTGAGTTCTCGAATGTCAGACATGCTGATTTGTAAAGATCAGCAGTCTTTGTAGTTTTTGCAGGCCTAAGCTGTCCAGGGGACAGTGCTAAAGAGCTGCACAAACATTTCCGTCTAGAGTTACTCAGGGAGATAGCTGGGCTCTCTGTCCTACAGTGTCTGCAGTTAGTCAAGCTAGCAAAGACACCTTGCACCAACATAGCAGACCTTAAAAACCTTGATCACTGTGTATAGTACATATTCTTGTGAATGTTTGATTTCAGAAGTATCAAAGATTTTACCCCTGTCTGATATAATTATTGCAAATATTTTTGGAGTTTGAGTCATAGATTAAGATAGGATATTAAGAAAAAGTACATATAAAAAACAAATATAAAAGGTGGATTATAATCTCTGAATCTTGTGTTGGTTTTGTTGTGATCTTTTATGACTTAATTTTTATCCTTATATGTTCTGTTTTTTTTTTTCCTCACAGTTTAGTGTCCTTTTTGTCTTGGAGAGATGTAATTCTATTTTTTTAAAGAGCGTTTTTAACGGTGTCTCCCTGAAAGTTTCACTTTTGTCATGATCCTTCTGTTTATTATATGTCCACGCTATTTTAAGATTATTATTATTATTGAATCATTATAGATTTTAATAAGAAATAATTTAAGATATGTTATGGATATAAAGTCCGAGAGGTTTTAACACGGTTAAGTGTTATTGCACAATGGTGATAAAATATGTGGATTTAAGAATGTAATAAAGTCTTTTTACAGTAAAAAGAAAAGTTGTCCTGGTTTTATCTTATCTGCTGTGCCGTCTACAACTACTGTGTCACAAGAGGAGATAGCTAAGGTTAAAGACATTACTGCACCAGTTTTGGTAAAACAAAGTCTGCTTTGCTCATCTACTTTTCACACATTCATATTTATTTTCTTTATTTTTCTTTATCTCTCCATTCAAACGTCTCATAATGACGTCTTACTGCTACCAAAATGATCTACTCAGCTGAACCATTTTTTCAGAGGCATTTCATATTGGTTACATACAGAGTAAGATGTTTGAAAATAAATGTATTTGCCATTCAATGTAAAGAAAATCATTGATAACCACAAAGGACATTTTCCATCCATTTTCAGACATTAAGTTAAATACAATAACTTTGTGTTTCTAATTATCCTTTTTGCAATGTTAGGGATGCCATTAACAAAAGGAGAATTTCTCCATATCATTGTGTCAATTACCGGAGGCAGTTTGACTTTTAGTTTGACTATTTACGCCATGCTGCCATGCAGAACAATTCATGTATCTTCCTATGACAGTATTCCTCACTAGAACCATAGTCTTGCAAATGCTTCTTATGTATATCCAGAACTATACGAATGTTTAAATATAGTTACTGAGTAATAAAAACATGGCAGGTTGATAGTTACATGCTTTAACTGGATAAATAACCAGAGAAAGAGGCCGACTGCCATGGAGCCCCACATCCAAGTCACCCAGGAGGCTTACTGTGTCAAGTACGTTTTACTGTTCAAATTGAAATTTTGTTGAAGGATATCCAGCTCTAAAATGCAATATAAGCAGACATTATAGGAGCTTAAAAGGCCTTCTGGTTCATTACCTGGTCTTGAGTTCCACTTCTGAGGAGAATGCATAGACCAGAATTAAGTTACAGGATCATTCAGGTCGGAGCTCATACAATGTATTTGTAGTTTTATCACTTCAAGGCTGCAACATGGAACAGGAAATCTGTGCACACTGCGATGAGAACTAGGAAAGGGGCTTAATCTAGGGCCTAGCCTAGAAGGCAGCAGCTCAGTTTTGCCTTTGGGCAACACACCCCTACTCCCGCAATGTTTCACGTCCCAACATGCAGGTAACATCTGGTCTTTCCTGCAGCAGAGCAGACAGAGAGGTGTGTGTCTGCTACCTCCAGCAGAGGGCGGTGTGCACTAACACAAGCCTGCTCTAACATCTGCTACGTAAACTCAGGAAACTGATTTCTTCAAAGTGGCTGGCGCAGATTTTGGTGCCCTGTAATCGTACAAGTGTGACTTCGATTGTATGCGTTTTTCGTTTTTCGGGGTTAATATTGACGTTTTTTTTTGTGGATTTAAACATATTTCGCTCGGTTTTGACAGTGGGAAGAATCCCCCTCCTCGACGTAGACGTGGTCAGTTGGCGTGTCCCGACTTGGAGTGACGGCTGAGCAGTCCTATGAGTCCTCCTAAACATCTCCGCACTGGCCCCCTTTTCTAACTCACTATAACGCTAACTTTAGTTGTATCGTGACCTATTTACACTTTCTCTGGAAGCTGAACACGGACAGGGTTCAAGATGTCTGTAGCGGGCTTGAAGAAACAGTTTTATAAAGCCAGCCAGGTTTGCAAAACTTTTTTTTTTTTTTTTTGGTTGTTGTCATGACTCGTTAGCCGATAGCTTCATTTAGCATTTTCAGCTAACTAGCGGTATATCGTTGACTAATGTTGACGATTTGTGCGGTGAAAGCTTTGAGATAACGATAGAAACACTTTGTGTCAGTGTGTGAAACTTTTATTGTTATTATAAGTTTGGTGTTTATGTTGTTTTTAAGATAGTTTAACATCCAAGTTTATGTTAGTAAACATTAGTTGGAGTATCAACTCACTCTAGCTAATGCTAAGTAACGTTATTATATTGTTAAAGGTTTAAAACATGGCTCTTTTTTTTTGTTTTGTTTTTTTGTGGCATTTTTACCCAGAAAGAAAGTGTTAATTCTGCAGCCAACATTGGTGCTGGCTCTGTCTTCCTTTGGGGAACTTTTCGGCTGACTCACAGCTCAACACAGTAAAAAAAATAATAATAACAATCCACTAAAAAGTTGGTTGTGCTTTGTACATGAGAAAGAGTGTGAAGTCACATATTTCTGATATTCACTGACATACCTTTTCCACTTCTGAGAAACATAGTACCTGAATATAAGTGTTTAGTTGAGCTTCTTTTGACCCAGTTACCTGTTTTCCAGCTGTGTTTTTGATTAATGTGCTTCATCAGTATTTACAGGGAATGCATCTGACATTGTGTTGAGTTAGAAATGCAGATACTAGACATGGAAACACACAAAATGTTTGTGTCTTTTGGTGTCTGAACCTTTGCGTGAGTGTTTTTAATTTGTGCCAGCTCGCTCTGTCATGGGCGGGGACGGTTAAAATATTTTTTTTGGACTCTTTTTCCCTCCCCTGCCTTTGCTGATCTAAGCAGGAAAGACATTTGGTTTCTACCCCAGTTTCCTGTTAGGAACATACTCCGATCCCTGATGGGATTTGGTTGTGAGGAAAAAATAATACAATTGTCATTTAGGATTGTTTTTACAGTCCGTAATGATAATGAATAGTTGAGGTTTTGGGGCAGAACAGTAGTTCACTAGAAAAAGACCAAAGGGGTGATGCACAGAAAGAGGTGGGGGGGGGGGAGAAGTGTGCTTTCCCTTTATTCAACTGCAATGCAGCTTCTTTTCTTGCCAAAACTCCTTGAGAGTAAATAACTCTTCACATTGCTCAGATTTTCTACACTGGAGGCATGCAGGAAGTTGGCTGTTTATCAATCTGTTCCCTGTAGTTCACACATTTCCCAAGTTTTCTCTTTTACTGTGTGTCCATCTCTTTGGTTTGTTTTTCTACATGAAGTTACTCTTGACTTGAAATGTTCATACCTGAAATGTCAGGTTCAATTAGAGCAAGTGATAATACCAGCAATTTGTGTGTCAGCTAAGCAAATGTCAAACAAATAATCACACAAATAATGCTTAAAGCTTTCTAGATGACCTTACTCAGTTTCAACACAAGAGGAAACAAGCATCTGTCCAGAGGTGTGCCGTTATACTGGTCAATTAGCAATAATAATGAATGCTTACTGTCAGTTATAACCTGTTTTACGAGTTATACGTAGAATTCATCAATTGAGATATCCTTTGGTTATTTAGTTTTATCTGGCAGACTGTCTCAGCAGACTGTGTTTATACTGTTTACCCTGCTATTGTTGTGACAAACTATGCAGTATACAGAGTTTATGAAGCTGTATCAGTTAACCCACTTGTGATGCAGCATCATGCCTTCATCACATTGCCTGTAGCAGAAGTTGTGCATGTATGTTGGCAACCCCATGACTACTTTCTGGCTGGCTTTATTCCGATAAATAAAGAGTGTTGCATTTTCTAAGCAGGGTGGTCTGAGCACAGCCTTACTGTTTCTGGCCTTATATATGTATCATATTGGGTGTTAACTTTCAGATCACCAAAGATAATGCTCAAGTGGGAAACTACTCATCTTGTTTTGTCTTCTTTGGGGACATTTTGACTTTATGGATAGGGGATTACATGCAGCAAAGGGCTGATTTGAACCCACGGCCGCTGCGATGATGCCTATAGCCTCTGTAGATGAGGCGCACAACATAACCGCTAGGTTATCTGACCCCTCAGGAAATTAATATTCTTAATTGAGGATTTGTCATTGAACAGATACTTTGAATGCCAGGCAAAGATAGTTTCCCTCCTTCTGATTCCCTGCAAGAAATCGGAGAGTTTTAGCTTCTATGCAGCGATGTAGAAAATTTTAAATTGCATGATGCACCAAGAGATGTCCCTTTTAGTTAAGTACAAGGTTTCTTACTTTTGTCAAATAATGTTACTGACTGAAATCACTAAGCTCCATTCATGTACGGAGAATACCAGATAGTTTTTATGTATCTCCAGCAGAAAGGCTTATGAATATCTATCACGCCTCATAGCAGTCACATCATTTCCTTTTGAAACGTGGTTTGCTCAGATACTGTGAATAGTGTTATACTGTACCTGTGAAACACGTTTTCCTTACTGACATATTTTGGCTTTAACAAAGAATAATCTGCTACACATTGACAGGTTTGTTGTGTTAGTCTGCTAACCTTCTGAATATACAGTAGTTTTCCCTTTAAATAGATTTTCTTCTGCTGATTTGCACATGCAATGTTGGTAAACAAACCTGATCCACATAAGGCTGCTACATGTCTCCTTTCTCTTACTCTTCATTTTGTATTCAGTCCTATGAGTCAACTTTCTGGGTTTGACAATCTGCCAGTTACTGGCTTTGTGAAAGTGCACCAGCTTTTAACCAACCACCAATATGTTTAATTCCCAGTCATTATGATGAAAAGGATACCTGTTATAAACTCACGCCTCAGTGTAGCTATATGCATGTTTATACCCAAACTTCCAGATGACAACCTTTTGTGGATGTTTTTGGGCTCCAGTCCTTTGAGCCTGTGTGCATGTAAACAGTTCTGTTACACTGACACGAGAGCTTGATGTTTTCAGTAGCTGAAGACAAAATAGCTCAGCACTACAAAGTGGATAACAAATGTATTCATATGTTTTACTTTATTACCTCCCAAAATCAGAAAATACAAAGATTTCAAATAAAGTAATGCAGTCCCTCGTGAAACTGGGGTGCAGAAAAAGTTAGATGGCAAAAAAGAAGCACTGCATACTGCAATCTTTCCTCTGAGGGAGTGTAATGCTGAGTCGGCCTGGAGTTGAGGCTGTATCTTTACTTGTGACCTGAATCCCCCAAGGCCCCCTGTCATGTGCTTTCCTCATACAGCAGAGATTCTGCAGTTTATCTTGAAGATGTGTTCTGAGCTGCTGCAAAGAAGAAGGGCAGGCATTGTGTATTTCATTTTGTTTTTTTAGAACAGCCAATATAGAGAGAAAAAAAATCTACATTAGTAAATCTGAAGTATACTTCTTAAAAATGCAATCAATTCTTTTTGATGCCACAAGTTTAAAAACAATACATTCTGTTATTTTCATGATCCATAGGATCAAAAGGTCCATAAGCTTTCATAAAAACTACAGATCATCAGTCATACTTTTCACCAGAGCAAAAGAGAACGAGCAGTGTCTAAACTGTACAAACATGTTTGCAGCATCCTGTTTCATTTTTATCTACTTATTTTTTATTGGTGAAATAGCATAAACTAGTGACATAGATATATACTTTATTGATCCCGAGGGATATTCAAATACATGACAAACAAGAAAAATAAACTTTTTAAAATCACATATTCTTAGAAATGCATTTTCCCTTGACTCAGAAAATTCTCCAAAAGAAATTCTAGCTGAAGGAGACTTGGGTTAAGTTATTTAAGTATTATTAATCTCAATAATAACTAAAAGTTCTCCATCATTATGTTTGAAATGTGTCACACTACATTCATTGAGGCTACTTAAAAAAGGAGGGAAAACAAAATAAAATAATTTATAAACCGCCATAAAACGGGTACACGTCCACCAAGTGGCGAGTGGAGTGCTCCGACGTGATCCCTATCGTCCTCACCTGAAGCACTGGAGCTGCACTGCAAGATAGACGAGAGAATTTGACTTTTACATCAGTTTAATCTCGTATTCAAAGGAGCATATGTCTGATGATAATACATTTTAGAGTCCACCACACAAAAGGATTGTGTGGCCAATCTACAAAAGTGGAATGTGCATTGACAGTAGGCCTGGGAATCTTTGGGTGTCTCACAATATGATTTAGATTCTTGGGGTCATTAGATTGAGAATCTATTTTCAATTTGAAAAGATTCTGGATTCAGGATTCAAATTCACCTCCTAAATTCTCCATTTGGCATTCTACTGAGTTAAAGAGCTTTGGAAAAAAATGGATTTTTGGAAGTTACAAATCTATTTAAAATATCAGAAGAGAAGAATCTCGATTTTTACATGAATCAATTTTTCCACACCTCTAACGACAGGTGCAGCCAGCCAGCCAATATACAGATGTTCAAAAACGACTTTGTTAAACTGTGTTGAATGTGATTGGAACGTCTACCTCAAATTCAGTAACATGTCCCCATTCAGTGATGTCAAATAAAGTCTAAATCTAACAGACACAATCTAAATTATTGACCAGTTTTCAGTGCCCCTCTTGCAGTGTGTCATTAACTTTCCAAGCAGTTAGAAATGCTCCCTCTGTTTATACTGTTGGGCATTGTTTAAAGATTAAAGATTAAGCCGGACTGTTACAAGCTTACCTTAAAACCTCCACAGCAGGACGGATTCATCACATCCTGCTGTGACACAATCACCACAGATGTATTGTGAGACATTTCCCCTGGAATCATCGCATGAAACAAAGACAACAAAGTGTTTGAAGTGGTTAGAGTTTGCACTTGCAGAACTTTATGTCCCCAAGTTAGCGTGCGACCAATGACTGTTGTTGCATGCCATTTTCAAACCCCCTATTGGTGGTGATGTGAGTTGTTTTCCATTCTTCTGCTCAGATAAACTAAGACATGGAACTATGCAGCTCATGCAGTCAAGTTTCAAGTGTCTCAAAGTTACGGCAGTCCAGACTCATGAAGTCAGAATCAGCGTGTGTTATTCTCTGAAAAAAACACAAACTCTGCTCACAATTAAAGTAATTAGCCAAGAAGGATGGACACAAATATGTGTACTACATACTCGGGAGCTGATCTGTTTTCCTTTTCTTATACTTTTTTTTTATGTGACCTAAAAACATGCTGAGAGATCGTCCTGGAAACACATGTGCTTTTAATCAACGTGTTTTAGTCTGCTCCATTGAGTTAGCTGGTCCTACATTTTTTCATCCTGTAAAGGGTAACCAAAGGGATTGCATAACTCTGTTTGTGCCGTTTTGCTCCAAATTCATTTGTTCCAAGTCACCTGAAGGGTTAGGTTAAAGGTAGGATTTTGAGACTCGGAATACAAAATATACAATTCCTCTTCAAATCCATAAGTGTTTTGTTTTCTACACAGAGCAGGCGCGTGAACGTCTGAAGACTTCTCTAAACTCAAATCAAAACCTTATGAGCAGCATTAATTAATCAGCATTTTCTTTATTTTTTTCCCTCCCTCTTTCTTCCTTCTCTCCCTTTCCTGCCATCTCCCCCCCCCCCCTCTCTCTCTGTCGCTTTCTCCCTTCCTCCTTCCCTCTAGATGGTGAGTGAAAAGGTTGGTGGTGCCGAAGGAACTAAACTAGATGATGACTTCAGAGACTTGGAACGGGTAAGAGAGAAGACATCTTTTTGTGGTCTGAAAAAAAAAAGAGAAAAAGGCCTTGTTGATTTAACACACAGTTCATCATTTTCTCATGGTGACCTCTGTTAATGTTTACACCTCATTTAAAGCATTACCTCATCCTCTGTTGGTTCAGAACAGTTTCATTCAGCAGTGTGAACGAGAAAAAAGCTGATTGCCATTAGGCTGCTGATACTTTTACACAGGCTGATTGATGAGTAGATAAAAGGTTTCTTGAACTACTAAATAAATCAGAAACTGTTGGAAATTTAGCTACCCGTGTTAGTTGCTAACCAGAAAAGCAAACATTTGCTGATTCCAGCATTCAAAAAAATGTCGCTTTTCTGGCAAGAGAGTGAGAGACTTGAGTCATGTAGAAGCTTGATAATGTACGTTTGTGCAGAGTCACTGTGATTGGCTAGATACATGAGAGCTAACCCGGATTGATTGTTTGGTTCAGACTGGATTAAAAGAATTACAAAGGGGCGGGGCTCACATTTACAGATCGTAAACGCATTTATTCAAAGGAAAAGCTTTAATTGAATATTGTTAGGATTGAGTATTTGGTTAAAAATGTATCATTTTAATCAAAGTTCTAATAATATCAGATACATAATTAATCAGATACAGATGGAGAATAATTAGCAGATAAATAGATAATAAAAAATAATAATTATTAGGATCATTACGATTAGTTGCAGCCACATTTATTAGTTCATCATCCACAATATATCAAATACTCAAACTTGATTTACGATTAAGCAAATGCAAGCAATGGTTAGAATGTTTCAGTACACTTCCTTTTCTTGACGTCTGTGGTTGTAGTTGCTTCTTTGTCGATTGTGTTGTATGTGTGTTTGTTGTGATTTGTAGAAAGTAGATGTGACCAGTAAAGCAGTAGTGGAGGTAATCTCCAAAACGTCAGAATACCTTCAGCCCAACCCCGGTGAGCAGCTTTTCATTTCTTATTTTTGGCATTTATTTAGACACTTTGAACTGTTGGATGAAATAAGTTTCCCCTCCTCTCATAGCATCGCGGGCCAAACTGTCCATGTTGAACACCATGTCTAAGATCCGTGGTCAGGTGAAGAACCCCGGCTACCCTCAGGCTGAGGGGCTGCTGGGAGAGTGTATGGGCAAGTTTGGAAAGGAACTCGGAGAGGAGACTAACTTTGGTGAGACATGTTTGTTTATTTGTGTATACTGAGGAATGTTGTGGTTTGTTATTATGGGGTTTTTGGGTGTGCATGGTTGTGCTTGTGTGGTTTCAAATACTGACTGACAGATTACCCAAACTATTTAAGTGGCTCAGGATTTTTTGTTAAACTATTTTAAGTAATGTATTTCTATCTTTTGGTCTCAGGTCTGTGTGTAAGGGGTTTGTTTTACACTTTCTGTTTCTATGTGAGTGGTCTGAAGGTGTGGTTGTGCTTTATAAATACACTCTTCTCACCGAGCTATTCATCTCTGTCTTTGTGGATTAGGTGGAGCATTAGTAGATGTTGGAGAATCCATGAAGAGATTGGCAGAAGTCAAAGATTCTCTAGATATTGATGTCAAACAGAACTTCATTGATCCATTGCAAGGACTGTGTGACAAGGACCTCAGAGAGATACAGGTACTCTGATGTGCTGGAAGGAGAGCACACTTGTTTTTAATCTCTCTCATTGTTTAAACATTGAAAACATGATAGTAAAACTGCCTGATTTTCATTTAATGCAAGATGGTCGTTAGTTATTTGCTCTCTCCTAAACATCGGCTATCACCACCTCAGCACCACCTGAAGAAGTTGGAAGGCCGTCGCCTGGACTACGACTACAAGAAAAAGCGCCAGGGCAAGATCCCAGACGAGGAGGTTCGACAGGCCCTGGAGAAGTTTCATGAGTCAAAGGAAGTGGCAGAGACGAGCATGTACAACCTGCTGGAGACTGATGTAAGGACCGGTTTATCTCTACTCAGTGTGGTGTACAGTTAATGTTTATGAGGCGCATCTACATCCTAAAAGCCAGTGTGTCCTAGTTTTTTTTTTTTTGTTTGTTTGTTTATCAAACAGGGACACATGTAGAAAACATTGCTTCATATGTTAAGTAGAAAGTAGATGCCATGCATACACGTTTCTAGCTTTGGCTCATTTGCAACCCCTGTCCCTGGCTAGGCTTTTAGGATTAAAACAGAATTATTATTATTATAGTGTAATAACCCGGATGGTTAAAAGCTGGTGTAAAGCAGCAGCATTCAGTTATTTGAAACATTTTGAACACATTGACAAGCATCAAATAAACAATCTTGATATGCGGTCTCTGTAGTCCTTATGGCAGTATACAAATCAAATAAAACAGTCACTGACCCTCAAATATGAAGTCTGCAGTATTTATAGACTATGTATTTAAAATGACACGTTTTGTTTTTAAAGTGTATCGGGTTATATGTTTTTACAAAATCAGTTATTGAAACATACATACATGGCAGCCTTTGCCATCAGTGTGTGAATGTGACATGTGGTGTAAACAGCTGTTTGAGTAGTCAGAAGTCTAGAAAAGTGCTACACAATCTAGGAAAGTCTATTTTTCAATACATTATTCCCATCGTAAATTAGTATTGGCCTCACAAATCCCAGGTTGGACGGGCACTCAATTGCAGCCTGCTACATATGTGACATATCTTGCATTGACTTTATCATGCTTTCCAGTACACACCCACAGGATAAACACACTTTGCACTAGTTACACTAGTAAGAGTAAGGACACACCCATTCAGCACAATGCAACTCTGAGAGATACACAGGTCTTTAAATAGACAGTTAAACGGTTAGACAACATTTAATCACAATTTGGGTTTAGGAACTGGAAAATGTGCCTGCTCTGTAAATGGCAAAGGAAGCACAGGAAAACTAGACAGGTTAGAGCGTACATCTAAGTGCATGCATGTCATGTTTGTGAGTATTATAATGCTCCTGCAAAGCAATCAAGCGGTTAGTTTTTATGTTGAGGACAGTTTGGCTATGTAAATGTGACAAGTGCTGTATGAGGGATGTGAGTCTGATTCATATTTCCTGTGTTTTCTCCTGTGTCAGCCTTTTTGATATTGTTCCTTACGTCTATTCAAATGTTATGCATTGGTAAAGCTGTGCGTGTGAGACCATTTACATTATTTAAAAATATAAGTTTGACAAAATTCCAAAGATTAAAGAAATTGTAATAAGCTTTAAGATGCTGATCTCCAGGATGCAGGGTGTCTCTGTACTTCAACACTCTGGCTTTTATTTACTATTCTTGATAATGTAACTGTTTATCCATTGCAATGACAGATTCAGAAGTTGAAGTACAGTTGCACTGACTGTCTTGTGTTAGTGTGGTGCTTATGTGTGTTTGTGTGTCTGCGTGTAGATCGAGCAGGTGAGCCAGCTCTCTTCTCTGGTGGAGTCACAGCTGCAGTACCACAGGCAGGCTGTGCAGGTGCTGGAGGAGCTTTCTGACAAACTCCGAGACAGGTGAAGTACAGAAACCGGACACACACAAAAACCAACATTCTCTATAGTTCATGTGAGTGTGCAGCTTTCTGCAAAGAGCTGTCCTCAAGTCTGCTTCCAGTTCAGTTAAAGTGACTTCATATAGCGTTCTGTATTTATTCTGGATGTTTGCATATGTCATTTTATATTTGTTTGTCTTTTTTTAAAGGATGAATGAGGCTCAGAATCGACCAAGACGTGAATACACACCTAAACCCAAACCTATCTTTGACTTTGGAGACGACAACCATTCAAATGGAGGCTACCCGACCTCGATGGCCCTGCCACCTTCACGTAACTCAGGTAAGAAGCAGATGAAGGGATTTTTTGAATATTTGCATGCAAAGAGCAAAATGTGTGTAATTTACACTGGAGAAAACTTTAATTATCCTTAGGTGTTAAAATAGTGCATGAGGTGATTTTCGTTTTTATAAAACAAAGAGAAAACTAAACACTCTCTCTGGCAATATTTTGAATTCTTCTTTACACTTTCATCACTCTAATATGTGGAAACGAGCTGCAGCACACATCAAGCTGTTTCTCTCAAGACTAAGCCAAGAACTGATGTTCCTTTAAACTAAATTGCAAACCTGCAACTAATCAACACCACTGAGCAGAAAAATGTTCGACAAACTTTCTTTTCTGCAGACTTGTGAGGCTTGTACATGGTGGCAGACACTGAATGTTTATCTGTGAAATGCTCTCAGTCACTGGCCATGAGAAAATGGTCGTTTGTTTCCGCATGTGAAGAATGTGTGTTTGAGTGTCAGTGAGTTTGTGTGTGTCCTGCCCTGTCATATGGCTGGCCTTTCTCCAGCTGACCTTGTTCCTTTCTCCTCTGACGTCACCATTAGAGTCGTCTTTCCCCTTGGCCAGATTGTCCTTTCGGAAACCAAGATTGTGTGAGTCACAGATTGTGTGGGCCAGTTTTCGCAGTCACAGTTTCTGTGGTGTGTAAACGGTGCCGTGTGCTTGCACAGCTTCTGGTGTGAAATGTAGGAGGCAATATATAAGTTACTTCTCACGTCTCCAGGTTCTATACATTATTAGAAGTTTTTGTTGCATGTGGTGTGTAACAGCATGTGTGTGGTTTCAGATGAAATCAGTATTTCATAGTGCAGCCTGAATATTTAAACTTTTGAACATTTCTAGATCCAATCCTGAAGTCCAGATGTTGGGTTTGCTTGACTGTGCGCACACTACACATTTAAATGAGAAATTGATGATATCCAAAACATGCAAACCCCATGTTTTATTCAACATTTGATGTGCTGTCTTTGTGCTATTGTCAATTAACTATGGGGTGTCAATGTGCTGAAAATCATCCCTTTTTGTTTGTATTTACATTTTACCCACATCCCATGTTTTAAGTAAAAGGGTTATCTTCTCTGTCACCACTCTCACACTATTGCCTTTGTCAACAATTCTTGATTCACTTGAATCAGACAAAAGACACAGCAAGCAACCACAGTGTTTTCCCTAGGTTTACAGCGTTGGGGGGGTGGGGACAAGCCGACATGGCGACATGACGACTTGAAGGAATCTTGGTGTTCATGCGTTACTTTTAATATTGGAAATGTATCCTTAAATGGCTTCTTTCCGACTCTAACCATTATCCTATCTCTACAATAAAGGCACAAAAATTCCAACTTGACCTTCAGGGCGGGCGGGGGGGGGGGGGGGGCCGCCCATTATTTAGGCTGAACCACAGCCTAAATAATGAGTCAGTTAGCAACCGAAGAGCCAGATCTTTCCCTTAGGAGGAGAAGACCAACTACAGAGGCAAGATAAAGTAAATGTTGACCTCACAGTCATTAGAAAAGTGACTTTAAATTATTGTTGATGCTGCTTTGTAACTGCGATGTACAAGGGTACAGCTAGTCTCTGTGCATCCAAGTGGACAAAAAAGTAAGTTTCTAATCATAATCCAAGATCATTAACATTGGCATGGCGTGGAAAATAGCCTACAAGCTGATACACATTATTAGAGTTTGATCACAACCCTTAACAGAATTCTTTTTAACAGGTGTTTGGCAATTATATATATATAATTATATATCCATAACATAAGCTAAGAGAGATCTCTTCTGATTGTATACTATTTAAACAAGTGTTAGCATCACGGTATCTGCTTCTGTAAATTGATACTCTATGGAGTACACACACACACACACAGAGACTGAGTGAGTGATCCAAGCTTTTGGCCTCGCCTCTCGCCTGCCCTGCAGTCTGTGGGGCATACTTGATACAATGAGAAAATTGTTTGTAGACAAAAAAGCCCAGTTTGTCTGTGTGGAGCGCCTCTCTGCTCTGCTGATCTATGTGAGGTCACAGCGGGAGAGAGATGGAGAAACGACAGATAGCGTGAGGAGAATATACAAGCCGAAAGCTGGTGTCATAGAATGATGTGGGTATTTTAGTTAAGCAGATTGTTAAGTTAATTTATGTTCTACTAACGTACATTAACAATAAGTGCTGTGACCTACATTAAACCCGTTAATGTTGCTTAAGGTGTGCAGTGTGACAACTTGCTGTGATCCCTCGTTGTGTCTAAAAGTGTTCACATATTGTCCTACCCCAAACTCACTCTTTGCCTCCTTGTTTGTGTTTTATTAGCCCCGGAGCAGCCGAGCTGTAAGGCGCTGTACGATTTTGACCCAGAGAACGAGGGAGAGCTGGGCTTCCGCGAGGGCGACATCATCACCCTGACCAATCAGATTGACGAGAACTGGTACGAGGGAATGCTGAACAGCCAGTCTGGATTCTTCCCTCTTAACTATGTTGAGGTCCTCGTCCCGTTGCCACACTAATACACAGAGCGAGAGATCAACGAGGAGACTGAAGGGGAGGAGGAGGAGGAGGAGGAGGAGGAGGGGAGAGAGAGAGAGAGAGAGAGAGAGAGAGAAGAGAGAGAGAGAGTAGAATTGATAGGGAGGGAGAAAGTTAAGCCAAGGAATGGTCTGCGGAGAATTCATTTTCACCTTCAGGTTCAACATCATCTTCACCGACGAGCACTTTCTGTCAACAGGATTTTTGGGGAAGATGGTCACTTGTCAAAGTCCAGACAGGACAATAGCCTGTACCACCCAGAGGTAAAAGGATTGAATGGACACACAATGCCAGAACTCTTTAAAATGGCGGTCAGAAACATTTCTTGAACGTTAACTATCAACACATTTATAAAGCAATATTTTCTCTAACCACAAATTACTGATAAAGACAATTTGTATTAAATCTGGTGACTTTAATGACCGGGCAACACATTCATATTGATTTTATTTGTGTGTGACTGAAGTCTGTTTCAAACTCAGGTTGGTCACTAACTCAACAGTCAGGTGTCAGGCTGAAGAGGTCCACCTAAAGCTCACACTTAAATGCCATTTCATTTCAAAACTGAAAGCATTTGTGTGTGGGCCCCTTTGGGACTTGAGCTCATCTGTTAGTGCCACCTGCTGGCCAAACGTGAATTACATTTCTTAAATGGAACTACACAAGAATAGAGATGTGGTTTTAACTTGTGTATAAAAAGATAAAACACTATATTCACATATTTCACAAGAAATATAAGTTTAAATGTTCTTTAAATGTATGATTTAGACATGTTTCAGGTTCTGTTTTTCTAATGCTCTTTTTAAAGATGTGTGTCAGCTGTGCACTGATGATAGCTTGAGAGAACATCAGGCCTGAAATATGTTTTTTTCTTGTATTATTTCAGTATTTGATTCATGTCAGTCTGAACCTACTACAGAAGTTTCAATGGTTCTTACTGAATATTCGAGAAGATGTAATTGCACCTTGGTCCTCTAATGAGATTTACTCCACCACTTGCTCCACACAGACCCAAAGTTGAATGCAGACGTTGCACCTTTGTGCCACTTGGGCGGGTGTGTGTTTGTTGTCCAGAGATGCGGAATGATAGGTTGTTTAGGGATTGTCTGTTAGTCTGTTCAATAGAGGAAGCAGAGCCAAAAAGTCGTATTAAATGCAATAGAAACATGATTGTGAAACTGCAAACTGTTCTGTAACACAGCCATATTTACATTTAGTTTTTGGCCTGTTTTGTCGAAAATTGTTTTTCTTATTGAACCCGGCGTGAGGCGCCTGTTAGGTATCGCTGCTGGCAGTGACTTGATCTTTTCATCACTAACTGTCCCACTGTGTCTGTCTGCCCTGTAGTCTCTGATACTGTGAACTCACCCCTGCTTTCTAAACTCATCCTGACCTTCTGATGATTCACAATCATCACAGCTCTGATTCCATTTGTTTGTAAGTACATGGAGCTGATATAAACAGACTTCTTTTCTTTTAAGTTGATTTTTTTAGACAAGGCTGGTTCCTTGTTTTGGATTTAGCCACAGATGAAGTCTGATCCAAAAAACACTTTTGAGTACAAGGAAATAACCTGGAGCGAAAGGGAAAACATCAAGGGAAAAATATGTTTATATCATTTTGACTTTTGGAACACTTTTGTTACCAAAAATAAATCCTGAAAGAAACCGTTATCATTGCATTTCCCCACTGCCAAACACTTCCTCCACTTCTGACTTTGGTCCTTGTCTAATATGTTTACATCTAACTGCATTTGAATGCTTGTATCAAGTTCAGGGCAAAGTTAAAGGACTGTCCTAATCACACTATTATTACAACAAGTCCATGCTTTGTTTTAGTGCCTTTGAGAAGAACAGAGGTAAAGTACTGCAATGAATACAGCAACCAAAACCCTAACCTAGCTACTTAAGAAAATGGTCCGGATTTATTTTCAACATTTGGTTTTAACTTTAGCCTTTGGCACTTTTTCCTGTGTAAAGATAAAATGTGTGCAAATTCCTGCACATCTCTGACACTATGGGCAGTTTCTTGGACGTGTAGTTTGACGAATGAGAGGTGGAAACTGTTTTTTTTATGTCTGTTTTGAAACATGTTTGAAAAGAAATGTCCCACTGATTTCTCCTTTTAAAGGGCTATGTGTTTGTTGAATCAGTCTTAAATGCTCTTGTGAACAGCATGAATTCATTGTGGCTCTTTATTGTATTCTTTTTTTTATATATAAGACCTTCAAACATTTAAATTAATCTTTGCATGTAGTCCTCTATTTCACCTTTTATAAATGTATGTCTTAGATTTGAGTTGTCTTTTTACTTTTGTTATACAGAGTTCAGAATTTAACCGCAACATTTTTTCTTCTATTATCAGAGTAATGTGCTTCTTACCTGTCCCCCACCTCACCCATTCTTACAATAAAAGAAAAAAAGAGAAAAGCGCTTCTGTTGCATTTATCCATACCGCAGTCTTTTGACAACAAAATGAAGCTGACTTAAAACACATTTTAAACATTTAAAAGCTTCTGCTTTGTAGTTATTTGAATGTTTTTTTAACTTTGGTTTTGGCTTATTTGATGCATACAAATCTTCAGTTTGGCCCTGGATCTTATGCTTACTCAACTGCATATGAAATGTTAAAAAGATATGCATTAGTGACGTTTCTCTTTTTTTTTCTACGTCCTGTTTTTGTTTATATCTAGAATTATTTGACAAAAAAACATGGAGCTCTGCTCTCTGGTGGCCGGAAAGCTTCCTTGGTCTTTTTCCATGAGACTTTTCAAAGATACTCATCGCCCCCTGATGATGAACCTTAATGACACACGGGATACCCGGACTTTCCTCTTAACCACCATGTGTGTTTATTTGCTACATCTTTTAAAAATGAATCCAACAGAGCTCCTGGAAATAAAGGAAACAAGAACACAGGCATGTTTAAATAGTTCCAGTGTGTTTATTTCAATGTTTTGTGGATCATCAGCAGGCTTAAGGCATTGCTCTGTCTTCATACATGTACATCGCACAATCCACAGTTAGTAATAAATACAGAACAGAAAAAAGAGGAAGCAAATATCTGTCCTAGCCTACAGGACTCATGTCTTACAAAACTTTCACAACATATCACTCACACACACACACACACACACACACACACACACACACACACACACACACACACACACACACACACACACACACACACACACACACACACACACACACACACACACACACACACACACACACACACACACACACACACACACACACACACACACACACACACAGGTTGGTAAAAAATGAATGGCATAGTGAATAACTAGTACCACATTGCAGCCTTAAGGAACAAAAACATTCAAGAAAACCAATTGCAGAATAGAGTTAAGCTCAAACCTAGATACATTTGCATACTTGCATACTGCTAAGGTAGTAGTTTTTACCTTACTCTTTGTCACGTTTTTCCCAAACCACTGCGCTATTGGTTTGGTCTTTAAAGGCAACAACGCCACACTGAAAGTTTACATTGTACACCTACCTGGCAGTATCTGCTCTTTCCACAGAATACTGGCACAGATAGGCACCTATAGGTCCATGTGTGAAGGGTAAGTGGCCAGTCAGGTGGGCTGATTCCATGTCGATGAAAGGGTTCAATTAGTGTCCTTTTCACACACATCAGTATTTTGTTACCTCAACACAGTGCTTTCTAGTTTGATTCATCAACTTTATATATCTCCATTTTTATTTCAAACTTCTGTGGATAACAAAGTCACAGATTTTTCACTTCCAAAAGTATCCAGGTCTTTTAAACTCAAATTACTGTGAAAAATAAGTGCACTCAAAGAGCAAAGAATTAAAGGCATTTAAAAAGCAGGTTTTTTGACATTGTACATCCTGTCTTGTCGCCTCTGCACAAAAGGTGTCTGAAATTGAAGAGAAGCCCCACACACACACACACACACACACACACACACACTCATTGCATGTTGTTCAGTTGACTGTAAACGTGCTCTAAGATCTGAGAGTAGGCCTGGTCTTTGGGAGCATGGCAACTCAGAGAGCCCTGAGGAAGAAGATAGAAGTTTGTAGTTTGGTGATCAGTGTGTAAGAAGTCATGAAAGAGGGAGAATGCCAGGATCAAAATCTGAAAGTCTGCATGGTTGTACAGATTCCAGATTTTCTTCAAATGGTCGTACCTTTATTTTGTCCATCATGGTCGTATCGGGACACCAGTACTGGCTGAACTGGACAAGGTCGGGAGCAGCCCTGTAGAAGTCTACCAGCAGCATCTGTGGAGGAAAGAACCAGGCCCTTTTAGAATGATAAACAGTACCACACAAATGTACCACACAAATGTTTTTCACAGGTTTCAGGCTGCTGTATCTGTACCATCTCGTTAAGAACATCACTGGTGAGAAAGTTGTCCTGGACATATGTGACCTCCACAGCCACTGGGATACCATAGTCATTGGACCGCTGCTGCAAGAGGGCAGAAGATACAGAAGTTTAGCAGAAACATTTGCAAACGTGTATGTTTACATTTCCAGAATCAGAACACACTGAACTAAGTTAGAAGGAAAAACATGACGTAGAGAAGGTAAAATGTTTGTTCCTCACCTCAGGTGGTGGTACAACCCAGAATGGAGTTATTGTGGATGCCACACCTTGATTGCCGTGATAATATGGACCTGAATAAGACATAGCATTGAGACATTAGAAGCATTTTACTGATCTCTCATTATTGCAGTGTCAATGAACCTTCAAAGTTATATCCTTCAAGACCCTCCAAGCCCCTTTATATAGAAGAATGGAAAGACAATTTCCCTCGTATGATCATGTCATTAAAGTCAAACAGTATAAACCAAGGCAGAGACATACCACAGATGATGCCCAGGCAGGGCTGGAAGCCGTTGTTTGAACCCTGCAGCCTCAGCTGGTGGTCCATCTGGGAGTCGATGTCCTGCAGCGACGGTAAAGCCGGACCTCGCGGGTGACTGTGGTACCAGCCCACTAACGACAGACCGCGCATGAACAGGTTCTGACAGATCTGCAGCAGGGTCAACATGACCGTCACTGATTAGAAAAAAAGTCTCTGCTTCCATGTTGTTTCACTTGAGTGAAAGAAAAATGAATAACACCACAGTAATTACCACGGGCAGTACACTGGGAAAACTCAGACGTAGATGGGCAGATATTGTCCAATGTTAAATGTTGCTCATTTCATTTTTTGCTTTAATTCTGCCAATATAAGCGCAGAAACGTCAGTGAAAGACACTTTTTAAGATTTCATATGAAGGTCTTTATCCCTTGATATTTCTGTCAGTGCTTGTGACATTTTTGTAAAACTGAAACTCCATGAAAAACTTTGGTGTCTGACTTTAGAAAGAGAGATGCATGTTGACTAGCGCTGGATGATAAGCTCCACCTGAGGAGCTGAAAGCACTTGTGAATTTTTAAAAATGGGTGTCGTGGCGCAATGGTTAGGGCGCACGTCCCATGTATTGAGACTCTCATCTCATGCGGTAGGCCCGGGTTCACTTCCACCCATGGCCCCCTTTCACCTGTGGCCCCCTTCCGCATGTCATTCCCCGCTCTCTCTCCCTGGTTTCCGACTCTATCCACTGTCCTCTCTCTGCAAAAAGGGCATGAAAAGCCCAAAATAAATCTTTAAAAAAAAAAAAAAATGGGTGTCGTTCCCCTTCGTGTTCTCAGAAGGCATGCATGCTGTTAGTGCAGACTAATGATTCACTGATTTATTTGATACCTCCTCCTCAACAGCAGACGCAGAGTCTCTATCTGCCAGTCTGGTCCGGCATGGGAAAGCCCTCAGAATTGTCAGCACTGAAATACACCGACAACAGAATGAACCATGAAAGGGTTAAAGCTAGAATCACGTCTATCGTCGACGGCTGTATATTTAACAAGTGTGCTACAGTCACGCTCACGTTGTGTGTTGGTATCCCATCTGCCTCCGAGGTATCCCACCACCTCACTGGTGGGTCAGGTGACAGTGGAAGTCCTGATGAGGAGAGAAAGTTTGAACTTTTTTTCTCCTCAGTGTTCATCAAAATTCAATTCCTTTCTTTTCTGTGATTTTACACAGAGTTGCTGCTTACCATTAACAAAAGCACATTACTGGACACGGCTACATTGAAAGGCTGGAACCTGTTGATGGCTGAGAAGGCCGACAGCTCCACCAGTGTGTGTGGATCTCTGAGGACACAAGAAAGTGTCAATCACACTCTGATACAGTCAGTGTAAGAACAATACAACTTACATCCTTTAGAATAAAAGTCAGTACCTGGTAGCATCTCTGGTGCCCAACGTGCAGTATCTGACAGGAATTCTCTCTCTGTCTGATCTGCGTGAAACCATTATGTCTGTTTCAAAAGAACATTTGTTTTACAGATTGTCCAAACTAGATTATTATGAAAAGTGTTTTTGTTTTAAGATGGAGGAAGAGGCAATCATACCGTGTAATCCAGGTTTGCTGTTCTTGTTCTTCTCATCTGTGTGCACAGCTGTCTTCCCTTCCTCTTCATCCTCGTCATCATCCTCCTCGCTCACCAGGCTCTGTCGTCACAAAATATAAAGAAACACAAAACCACCAATGACCAAAAATAACATAGAAACAGTGGTGTAAAGAGTGTAACTAATTCAAACGAATGGGTCTCAAGGTCATTTTTAATTGAATTATGAGTACACATGTTTTTTCTGTTCATAAAATGTGAATAAAAAAACAACTAGCTGTCGTGACAATGAACGTCAGTTTTCCATATACTCTCCATGATCGAGTCAAACATTTTCCTTTGTTCTTTACTGAAAAATAGCAATATATATATATATATATTTGCTTTTAGATTAAGTACCCGTCAGTCATTTCTAGGTGTAAGTAAGAGGTATTATTTGGAGACATTAATGATTTATAAATATTAAGACTGAACATTGATGATAAACATGTAGACGTTTTTATTTATTTTTCCTGGTCACTCGCCTCTTCAGGCTCCTAAAAGATCTTTCAATGAAAGAGTTTGAGGAGGAAACCTCCTCACAACTCATCTCCACACGCTTCTTCCCTCTTTCACTGTCAGCACCTATTTTGTTTCTATTCAGGTTTTCTTTCTTCATTTAGCAAACGAGTGAAACAAAGAGTCCAGTTCAATGCTCTGGAAAACCTCTGCAACCTCACTGCTATGGTATTGGCTGCACTGTAATAAGGTAAAGTTGAAATGATTAATCCTTACACACATAAAAACTGAAACAAGGGGTTTCAACCTTTTTTGGAACTACACTTTGTATGAGCGACTAAGGTAGCACTTTTCGTTTCTGTTGCTAAAATGTAGGGTCAGATGTTTGACCTTGACTTCATACTGCTCAGACTACCATGTTATATCTCATATTTAAATATATAAGAGTATCACTGAAAAAAACACATGTTGTAATCCTCTCACCATGTCTGCGCTGGGTTGGTACTTGTGCAGCCATGTGGTTTTGTACTGGACCAGCTTCTGGCCCCGGTAGCGTACAGACGCCCAGCCACAACCAGACTTCTTGGCTGGGTTGACCAGACGTTTGCAGTGTGTCGCCCAGGCACTTGGGGAGTTGAAGATCTGGCCTGTCTCCACCCATCTTATTTTCCCATCAGTCAACAGGTCTCCTACAAAGTTCTTACCCTAAAGAAACAGAGAAGTTAGAATTTAAATAAAAAAAATCAAGCAACTCTGTGTCTGCCCCTTTTCCGCCACTGATAACAGAATTTCAAAGTGTATCATTCCAGGTTAATTTTAATAATAGGTGCAAACTAAGATGATACAACATGCACATAAATAATGCATAACAACATTCTTACTGTACTGAGCTGCAGTGTTTGTTATTACCAGGTAGTGGATGGCCAGCACGCCGTCTCCCGGCTCTACAAGCCCATCCTTGAGCAGGACCCTCAGGGTGATGCCTCTCCGGGTCAGCAGGGAGCCCCGGCCAGAGCTGGAGCGCAGGTCTGCCTCCTCGCCTCCGCTCAGCTCCTCTTCATCCTCCTCTCCTCCATCCTCCACCACCTGTGGAGAGCTGGGTGGCTCCGAGTCTGAAGACACACACATGCAAACACACACATCATGGATCCTAATGTGCAAGGGTCTTCTTAAAGGATATGTCGACCAATCAATCAATCTTTATTTGTATAGTGCCAATTTACAACAAATGTTATCTCGAGGCACTTTTCAAAAAGAGCAGGTCTCTATTATATTACAATATGTAGAGTACAACAAAACCACAATATTGACAGGTTAGGATGCATTTACTTCATGTTTGCTAATTGAACATCCTGCTGTTTGAGATACATATAGCACTTGAATATAGTAAAACATCTATAAAGCCTACTATTAGTAACATTAGGAACACAGCTTATTCAAATGCTCCTTAATGCAGCCTAATTATAGTGACTTTAAAAGGAACGCTCCACTGTGAGAATGCTATGTAGCATTTAACATCATTTTGAAATGTTAGAAGACCTATCATGCTAAAAGACATCCCAAGGGGCCAAAAGAGCTTACAGATCATCTAAAATGCCATTTCATTAATTACAGCAAAGCTATGTGGTTGGTCTTTGTTTCCACCTCTCATTAGGGCACGGCTCTGTCCATAAGTAGAGGCCTGTCCCTCCTCTTTTAATTTCCTTCAGAATTACAATTAAACCCCCCTTTTATTATCCTCACCCATATCTCTGAAAGCGTCCGAGAGCGCCTTTAAATCCAACTCGGTGAAAAGCTGCTCCTTTTTCGGGGCACTTGCTGCTGTGAGGTTGAGCTCCGGGCAGATTTCACGGGTACACTTCGCCACACTAGCTCCTGCTATTATTCAAAAACATAAAATGAAGGCGTCTGAGGCTCTGCAGTGTAGTTTCCTTGTTGTGTTGCTTTAATGTCAGTTCCCCTCCCCTTTCTTTCTCCCTCTCCCCGTCCTTGTCACTCTCCCTGTGTTCTTCTGTCTGACGTGCCATGCCGGTCTATCTACCATTATTCACACATTCACGAGTCTACAAATACCACACAACAAGTGAAACGGTAAAATAGTCGGCACGAGATAAAGGAAACATCTTGAATGTTATTGAAAACGTAAACAATGGTGCGATAAATTTGCGTTTCCTCCGGAAAGATGAAGTGTCGCCCCGTGCGGGTGAACCCACCGCTATTTGGCATTCAGGCAGATTAAAAGTAGGCTACATCCTGAAGACCGAGGGGTCTGTGTGTATGACAAACACAGCACAGGGGCTTGAACTAGGGATTTGTGTGGTATAAAAACACGACCTAGTCCCGTACTTTTCTCAGTTACACTGTGGTTTCCTTTCCCTACACCGAGATGTTCCTCCTTTTATCTCCGGAAAGCAGAGTCATTACCGGGAAGCAGCCGGCGGAGGGCAGCAAACCTCCGGCACGGTTCAGTTTCTTTTGCCCCCCCCCCCATGGCGCTAACAGGCCTGTGTTTAAAAAAATAAGAAGCAACCATACACTTTAGGTGTTTGACTCCAAATCCTCTGTAACAACAAATTTTACTCGTGCTGTAGTGGAAATGATATGTTGCTTACAATTGCAATGTATCCAAATGCTTTTAGGATGATCCCTTTTTATCATCTGATACATCACAATACATTCAACTGGCATGTATTATTTATGAGTTATTCTTACTCATCAATATTTTGCTTTTAATTGGCTTTGATTTCCAGTGGCATACTTGACAGCGTTTTATTATTGTTGTCCTTTTTAAGCACTGATCATTCATAATTTAAAAGAGCAACCCTGAGTGAGCACTTTTTGTCCGTTCAAATCTCAAGTGAATTTGCAAACGTCTGATGCAAAGTCACATTAATCAGCTTTAATGGCCAGGTATGCTTAAACACGAAAGTGATTTTTCTTTGGCGAACTTTGCTCTCCATACAAAGGTATAACGTTAAATGTTAAAAATACTTTAAGAAAATAAACGCTGTTCTTTCAAGCATCGCCAACAATGAACTTTCCACCGCCATCAAATAGCAAAGCAAAGAGAAATGAAACCAAGGAAATCATGTTTGTGATGTATTAATAGCGCTGGTTTAGCTGAACCACAAATCCCCTAATAATATGAAAAAATGCAGCCAGGCTAACAAGGGAAGCCTGGACATGATTATGTATAACATGTTTGATTGTAGAATTAATTCACAAGTCATGTATAGTATGTGGTTTGAAATTCTTCCTATAGACAAATCTTCTGCACTGAAGTTCTGAGAGGAAACAGAAACTGGTCTGTTGAGTACTGAGGGCGTAGCAACACTTGGTAGGCGACCAGGTTTGCTGGGCATGGACGGACTTGTGGCTCATTACAAGTGACAAAGAAAAGATTTGCACCATTGACAGCATTTAATGCATAAATGTAAGACACATACTGTATCTCCCTTCACACTTTACAACAAGTTTGTTGCTGAAACATGTTGCTCTACACTGGTTAGATTGCTGCTCCTTTCCTCTATCTTCAACATACAGATCGGCAAAGAGGAGCAAGAGATATTTTCACTTATGCAATCTTCATTACTCATCAATTCCTGTATTTTCCAATGCATGGTGAGAAACGTAAGATAGGCGCTGTAATGTGGAGGTGTTTGGAAACTAGCTGTCAGGTTGTTGATGCGTAGAGGAGAACAGAACCTTTTGGTTCTCAGTGATTGTGGCTTTCTCTTGAGCTGCTGCCAAAACTCTCCAGTCCGTTTAGAATGACAGTTTAGTTTTGTTACCACAAGGTCTGAGAGAGATAAAAGAGCTTTGACAAGACCATATGGAAGATGTGTCCAAACCGGAGAACGGGCCAGCGCCTCACAGTTCCACGTCAAGTATTGAAGATCTTCTTCTAGTGCGTCATCACCAGTTGAAAGGGAAAAAACCATGATGTCTGAAAGTGGGATCCTCTGGTAGAGGGGCTCTAAAAATATTCACTAATTCTGTCAGACCCCAGCTGGAGGCCAACTTGAGAATACAGTAGGCGGAGGAAAGTGTAACTTTGATCTTTCTGGTGTAGAAGTATCTGAAATGCAAACATTTTTATCAGAAATGTTCAGCTAAAGCCATTGAATACAAAAAGTTGTCAAAAAATGTAATCCACTACTGTGTACAAATATAGATAGCGCTTATTCTCGCCCGATCATTTTTTGAGTGCTTCAGGCTCATTTCAAAATGGTATTATTGATTTTGCATGGTATTATTCCAAACGCTTATAACCAGAAGAGCTGTCTTTCTTCATAACAAGTGACATTTTTTTAGGGATTTTAATCAAGATTTGGAGCTCACCATAGCACTCAGGGGAAAGTTGCAGATTATCTCCTAACTGCTTTACAGGAACGGCATTAAGCTGGTTTGAATCCTGTTCAGTCTCAGCTTGCACCTAGTCCTGAGGTTTAAGTAGGTTCAGTGCTCAGACCAATTTTCTTCACCATATACTTCCTCTAGAGTCAAACTAATCAATGAATCCATATGAAATATCAGTTCGAATAAAATGGAGACATGCTCTAAGGATTTAAAAAACATGACAAGGAACATTTTCTGGGACACGCAAGTGTCATGTTTATGGCAAAGCTGCCCTACATGGCATCATCCTAAACTAAGCAACATATAACACATTTCAATGAGAATCTTTTTTCACCCTCCCATAAACATCCTGCTTAAAATGAAAAAAAAAAAAAAACCCACAGACCTCCTAGGCTGGTTTATTTCAATTTCACTGTAACCAAGCTGCTTTCGCCAGTCTCTAAAAGTTCCTCAGCTGCTGCAGAATGTGTACAGACCGTACAGACCATAGACTGTAAATAATATTATATAGTCTATGGTACAGATTAGAACTCAGAAAAGAGATCGCATTACTCACATACATTCAGGAGAACTGGAGAAAACTAAATGTAACCAGACTACAACAATGTAGTCGAAATCTGATTCTATATTTAATCCACATGTAGAGGCCAACAGAGTAGGCTTAGTTACAGTCTAATGGGGCCATGAAGTTATCAACATAGAAGAGATTAATCATCACCAAAACCTTTGAATGTCTCAAAAGGTCCTCAATAGTGCATTGGCTCTAGCCCTCACTGACAAAGTAATCTATGAGTGTGTGTGTGTTTGGTGAGGGCGGGGAAGGAGTGTGTGTGTTTGCATTTGCACCTAGCAACCGTCTTTTAGCTCAGGAGCACATCAAGCAGATCACAAAAGGTTTTGAACATCAATTCAAGTTATTCGGTTGGCATAATTAAAGCTTTTTACTAAAGAGCTTGCAGATTAACTCAAGCCTTGATTTCTTTCTCGCTATAGTGGAACAGGAAAACGTTTTATTGTTTAATTTGATTTGAGGAGGACGAATTGATATGCCAACAAATGAAGAACAAGCTCGGTAAAGTACTCAGTTTTCTCCGGGAATGGGACCGTGGGGACAGGACGGTCCGCGGCCGTATGTTGAACACCTTTCTGATTCAGAACACAGGGAAGACATTTTATGAGTTGGAGCTGGAGTTTGCTCAGGTCGCCAGCCTGTTCTTGGCTCGAGTCACCACATGGATGAGACTCACGTATCCTTTATTATAAAGCATTTGGTTCTCAAACTGTGGGGCGTAAACCCCAGGGATGGCCCATGCAGGGGGCGTGGTCTGGGTCCCTCTTGATTGACCACCCCTAGGACTGTGTTACAGGTATATCATTAAGGCACGTTTCCTTTTGTAGTTTCTTTAAATTATGACTTTGGACACTTTTTGAGTCATGAAGAATAAAAAAATATATTTAAATGTTGCCACTCTGTTGTGTTACTTTTTAAATATAAAACATAGAAAGGTATAAAATGTAAAGTTAAAACAATATATAACATAAAAAGCTGTCAAAAAACCAAACTTTTTCTCATTTATCGTGACTTTTACTACATGAGGATATGTAGGGGTGTAATGGTTCACAGAAGTCATGGTCCGGTTTGTACCTCAGTTTTGGGGTCAGTTCGGTATGAGTTTTGTTCAACAGAAAACAAAAAGCAACAACATTTCCGGAAGCGAAACACAAGGTTTCTCTGATTTATTATAGACGGACAACAGTGCAAGTTATCCTACAGTTTGTTCTAGTGTTGTTTCCAGCTGTGATAGTTGGTAGCCCGTAGTATATTGAAGGTTTAACAAAAAGGCCAGAAAAACAAAAAACAAAATTATGGAAAATAAAAAGCAAAACAGAAACGAAAAACATCTCCTTATTTAGAAAAAATACATAAAATATATACAGTAGCCTATATAAAATGTTTATATATTGTATATAAAAATACCATGTTAAATATAAGACAAAATCAAATCTCGCCGTTAGGAGCAATGTAACTCTTAAATGATTTATGAAATGTGAAGTCACATAGTTGTAGGTGTCAGAGGAGCTCCATCCATCTGTTGTTAGTGAACAGTGGGTGCAGCGGTTATTTGTGCCGAATTTTAAAATTTGTGCCAAGTTTTAAAATATATTACTTTGGTAATGTCTTCGACAATCTCTGCTTTCACATCCAGTCTTTTTAAATGCAGCAGGGATAAGCTGTCCAGCACCTTTTGCCTTGCTCTGGGTGATGAGGTCTAATATTCATTTGCATGTTTGATGTGTTTCCAATGTAATACCACACTGTGAGTGTGAACCCAAAGTGTCCCCACACAACTGATTTAAAGAAGCAGGTGTGTCTTCAAGCTCTGCCCTGTCATCTTCCTACCATACATTACTCTTCTTCTTCATGTGTTTTGTTGTGACTGCTTCTTTGTCATTACTTGTTTATTTACAGTGAGAGAAAAAAGTTATGAGCAAACCATGAGGTCCGAATTGTGATGGTAAGAAACTATACAAAAACCATTACACCCCTAGTATATCACAAATGCTCATATTGCGATAATGATGTATTTGCATTAATTCTCAGCCTCATCCATACTTATTTCTTTATTTTTCCTGCACCTGTAATGTACATACTGTATATGCATAATAAACTGCTTTGGGGCTGCAATTCCTCTAGATAAGGCTTCTGTTTTGGGTTAACCTAGTCCTAGACCTAGCCCCTAACTGAATTTCCAGATACATGTTTGGGACATTCTTGGGACTGCAACTGAATGCAATTGGGATTTTTCTTTCTGCATCAAGCCAGTGAGTCAGATCAAGTACTTCTGCAAAATATTTGATCTGTGCTTACATTCTTAATCTTTATCAGTGGCCCCTCTTTCTCTCATTACTCAGTGATCAGTACCTGATGGAGTTCCTTGAGGATGGAGGTGTTCTCACTCTGCTGGAGATCTTAAGCCACCCTAAAAGTAAAGAGGAGGAGAAGGCAGAGGCCCTCCGTCTTCTGCACACAGTTTCAAATGCTGGTCGAAAGTACAAAGAGTTCATCTGTGAGAGCGATGGTAATTTTCATGGAATACAAAAAAACCTGCTCTGTACACTACACATTTGATAAGTGCATCGCATACAGCTTTATTTAATCTCATGCAGTTACGTTACCTTCAGTGGAAAGTACAAGACATCTTTCTATATAGATTACCAAAGTACTTGATCTAGTTTAGTTTTTTGTTCTTTTTTTTCCAGGTGTGAAAGCCATAGCAGAGTTCCTGGCTACGTCAAACGCAGACAAAACCCAAGAGACAGCTCGGGCCCTCCTGGAGACCCTGTCCCATGGAAACCCTAAATATCAAATACAGATCTACAAAAGTCTGATTGCTCTCATGACCTGTTCCTCCCCAAAGGTCCAGCAGCTGGTCATGTGCACCTTACGCACTGTGCAGGTAAAGTAAGAGTGCACACTAATCAAAGCTTTAAAGAAAATTTAGATTTACTTCGTATATACAATACACAAGTATGTCTCAATGTCCTCTCTCACAGTTCAAAATGAATACAGCCCATCACAGCATTATAGAGCCTCTGCTGAATATGCTCAGGTCCCTGCACGTTGAGGTTCAAGATGAAGGTAACTAAGCAGAGAACAAGTTTCAAACAGCATGTCAGTAAACTTCTGGTGTGGCTGATGTATTGCTTCTTTTAGTAAGCACCCAGCCCTACACTCCGTTAAACACTGGGTCAGAGATCAACTACAGCATCTGAAATTAGAAAGGATAAGACTCTTTACGAGGATCTACAGACAACTGGCAATTTATATAGCAGCATCTGTATCAGTGTGTAAATGTGGTGTGATTGGGTGAATGTGACCTGCAGTGTAAAAAGCGCTGTATGACTAGAAAAGTGCTATACAAGTTCAAGTCCATTTAACATTTTACAATTGTCTACCTGTGAATGTTTTGGCAGCTACAAATCTGATCTTACTCCTGACGTCTTATGATGTGAGGCCCGTGCTGCTCAGTGGACTGGTTTCTTTGCTGAGGCCTACTAAGGAAGAATCACAGAAGCACCAGCTGAATACAGAGGGTAACATTTTGGCCCATAAAATTATTTGTTTCGCAAGTCTAGTAAATTATTTATGTAATAGAATACTCAATTGCAGAGGCCATAATACGAAATATTTCATATTTCTATTACGTTTTTATGTATACAGTCCCATCTGAGCCTGAGATAATCAAGAGGACTGGATCTCTACCTGTTTTTGTGCAACAAGCTGCTGCAGCTAAAACTATACGGTATGCCCCCTATATACCTGGAAAAGAAAAAAATAGTTTATCACAGTTACACATGTCAATCTTCTATAAAGTAATGTGTAAATCCGGTCTGTCATATCAATTGGATGTATGTAACACGTTTACTGATAAAATGACTTGAATTGCCTCAGTGTTATAGTCAAGGCTGCTGTTTGTGTTGAAGCTTGCTGGCTGAGGACAGTCCAGACGTTTCTCGAGAGCTTCTCTCTCTTGGAGTGATCCAACATCTTCTTCACACTCTGGGAAACAGAGAGCACACCGATGCCCAGATACAAGCCAGTATGGCCTTGGAGGTACACATGCTTGTTCTCAAAAGACAGTCAGAAGTGTTTGTTTCTACACAGCCTATATGTGTATTGACTTGCTAAGATTAAGGTTACATTTGTATTTCATTCTTCCAATAAGATGCCTTTAAATTGAGATTTTAATTAACAGTTCAATGCTGCTCAGCCAATACAAGTGATCTTTGTTATTTCTAATGTAGAATAAAAATAAATCTGCATCCCTGAAAGAAATAGAGCAAAAGGCTCTGTATGTTTACATATTTTATATTTGTCACTGTGTCCAGTATAGGGCTGTATCGCTCAAATGTAAACCTATAATCAAACACTAAATGTATATAAGGACTAACACTGAATGTCTTTACAATCATCTTAACCAGCACTTTGTCCGAGAATACCCCGTCATAGAGGAACAAGTCCAGAGAGTCATGGGTTGTACATTGTCTGAAGCCTTTATGGTAAGCTTTACATATTGACATATTGATGTGATTAGTTAAATGGTCAATGTGGAAGCTGCATGAACACTTCACTAACTGATTTAATTGCCCTTTTCTGCAGCATAAAGCTGAAACTTTGTACATGAATAAGGATGAAACACAAGCAGAATCTCTGCTTACTAACAACCTAAACATAAGTGATGGTAAAGGTTGTAATTTGTTCTCTTCATGCTGTTCAAATGTTCTCTGTACTAAGTCTTAATATTTGTAGTTGACTTGTCAATCTTTTCTCTCCAGGTTTGGATGGTGACAAATCTGAGGGATGAAAGGGGGAACAACTCTAATTATGACGCAGATTTGTGTGAAAATGTTGGAAAATTAAACAAATATATTTGTAAGTCAAAGTTGAATATTTTCTGTTACATTGCCTGCTTCCTTTTTATTTGAGTAATTGTAAAACAATTATATACTTGTAAATAAATAAATATTCTACAACAACAAAAAAATACATCAGTGGTATTTGTTGACTTAGGCCTAATAAAACACATGCAGTGTGTAGTTGTAGTGCGTGGTTGTTTGAATAAGCAATTTAGAATGAAAACATAATTCAGGGTAAATATAAACATACTATGTTATTGACAAAAATGTCATGATTCTCGTCACAACCACACATTATTGGGTTTACGTAATTTTAAATTTAGACCATCCTACCGGATATGACGTTTTGCGTGTGCCCCCCCCCCCCCCCGTTTCCATGCAGCTGATTGGATGAGCAGCGACTCTCGTCCGCAACGTGGCGGGAACGAGATGTAAACACCTAGAGCCCATGCTATGAGCAAGAAATGAATAAAGTCGCTTAGTTTGTAATGTGGTTATGAACAAGTTACGTTCAGCGATGCACAAAGGAAAGAGAGTCGGGCTAGAGATGGTGAAAAAAGGAACAGCAAAGCGGAAAAAGTCAGAGACAGCTGTGAAAGAAGGTAGGTACTTTATGAAGGAGAGACACATTAAACATTGATACGATGTGTTGTCTGTAAAGATCCATGGAGCCTCACTGAGATTCACCTTGGTGGTCGTGCAGACTTATGACGACGTATTGATAAGATTATAAACAATATGCAAATAAGTAATGTAAACACGTATAAAAATGTGAAAAAGTTCTGAACAAATCCCCCCATGTATCCTGGAAGCTCTCTTGTATCAACTGTTTTTTTTTTTTAAAGTAGTTCCCCCAAGCATATATTCTAATGAATATTGTTAATTGAATGAAAATGATGTTTGTGGTCTACCAGAAGACACCAAAAATGACTCTGCACCGTCAACATACCACACTTTCCCTGATCCTGCTGATGTTGTGCTGCTGCGCTCTCACCTCCTCAACTGGTATGACAAGGAGAAAAGAGAGCTGCCATGGAGGACTCTGGTAAATAAGAACTTTTTTCACTTTTATTTACCTTTTTTAAAATGATACGTTGTAATGAAAGTACATAAAGTTGTCTAGTAACTTCAGTTTGCCCTGCAGCATTAATCAAACTTTAAAATAAATAAATAAGGATGCTTTTATCACAGAGATTTGTGTCTTTACTGGTTTGTTGAAAGTCTTTCTCCTCCTTGTGTTCTTGTTCAGGCTGTGACAGAGTCCGACCTCAACATCAGGACTTACGCAGGTAAGAAAACGTCTTCTTGTTATTGTCACGTTTCCAACAGCTTCTGATTTCCTTAACATAAAGTTTTCTCAATTTTTTTTATTATAGTGTGGGTGTCAGAAATCATGCTGCAACAGACCCAGGTTGCCACAGTAATAGACTACTACAACAAATGGATGAAGGTGGGCTTGCTTGTTGTGATATATTCATTGTTGTTCATATGATATGTGCTTTTAAATTCTTTCTTCTCTGTGTTTCAGCGGTGGCCCACTGTGCAGGATCTTGCAGCTGCAACACTAGAGGTGATTAATTAAAAAGCAGTAACTTTATTTGATGAGGATAAAAAAAAAAAAGATTAAATAAAATCATCTCTGTGGTTCATGTGTAGGAAGTGAACCAGATGTGGGCGGGTCTTGGCTACTATTCTAGAGGAAAACGACTGCATGAAGGATCTCAGAAGGTCAGTGATCTGTAAATCTGTTCTGAGTGAAACTGCATTTTATTCTGTTCACTTCCAGATTTCTTCAAACATTTAGCTTTATTATGTGAGACATTTACTGATATATTGGGGCGTAAATTGTATTACTGGTCCTAACAGGTGGTGTCGGAGCTGAAAGGACAGATGCCTCACACAGTTGACAGTCTGCTGAAACAGCTGCCTGGAGTGGGACGCTACACCGCTGCAGCTATCGGCTCCATCTCCCTGGGCCAGGTCGGTCATCTAAAACACAAAAACACCTGGCGAAACACATCTCCATCGCTGCATTGTATCACTTATCCAAAGATATCTGATGTCTAGGTTACTGGAGCTGTGGATGGCAATGTGATTCGGGTGCTGTGTCGCCTGAGGGCAATCGGAGCTGACAGCACAAGTCCTCCAGTAACAGAAGCTCTCTGGTGAGATTCAACCTTAATATCCCCAATGAGTCTAAGTTTTGACTTTGATTGCAACATCTGCTTTCATTTTTATCCATGTTACGTTATGTTTTTTTTTATTTTCTTGTGTCAGCTCTACTGACACTGAGGGACAGCTCCTCACTGTTCAGTCATGGGCTTCTCTTTGAGTTTCTCTGCTTTTATGAACAAACTTACCTGTGGTGCAGTTTATTTGAAGTCTACAAAGAGTATTCCTGTGAATTGGATGTTTCCTCAGATAAAAGCAAACATCATCATTTAATTAGATCTGAGGTGAGATTAGTTGAAGATATCTTCCATGTGTTAAAACAATGAATTTCACACGGAACTGGTCTTAAGAGGAAACCGAAAGTTTTTTCAGTCGAGCAAGTTTAGTGCCTCTTCCTTATTTTCTATCCTTAATTGCAGATTTTGTGCTGAAAGTTGCATTACACTTACCCTCTTACATTTATTTCAATATGAATATACTCTCTGAACTTTGAAAATAAAGATCACTTTTATATGATCACATCACAGAATTAAAAAGAATTATTCAATTCCTAAGGAAGTCTTTGTAAATATTAACATAGTTTATACTAAAGTTCTCCAAATAGAGCTTCTCAAGATACATCTTCATTTATTTCAGGAGTCTAGTTAACAAGCTGGTTGATCCTGAGAGACCTGGAGACTTTAACCAAGCTATGATGGAGCTGGGAGCTCGAGTCTGCACCCCTAAAGGACCACTATGCAGCCAGTGTCCCGTACAGACTCACTGCCGCTCCTACAGCAAGGTAAGAAGCATGCGGGGTGCTAAACCAGTGCACATAGGTATCTTTACTGGTTTGTGCTTGATTTTTAAAGGAAGTAGATACTAGTGCTACCATTATTATTTGTGTCTTTCATTATACTGTACATGGAGGTGGATTTAAACCATGTTTACATGTGCAGGTTCATGCCAAACAAGAGAAAAAGTCCCAGAAGCTGTTGGGGAAGCTGGACAGAAAACCATCCACCCTGCCTGACATAGAAGAGTGTGGTAAGTGTCACTCTGAACTCTCACACCTTCATCTAGTCAAGATATCATATTGAAGGACTCTCTTCTGCTTCAGTAAACAGCGGGACATGTCCACTGTGTCCCTCTGAGCCCTGGGATGACAAGTTGGGTGTTCAGAACTTCCCCAGGAAGCCGGCGAAGAAGCCTCCTCGTGTGGAGCGGACACTGACCTGTGTGGTGCTCAGAACGGGGGAGGATGGGGAGGACGAGTACCTGCTCACACAGAGACCAAACAAAGGTCAGTGGCAGCTTTAAAATATATTCCTCGCAGATTGAGTTTTGGTAAAAATGTATTTTATTTTAATGTAAGACCGTTCAAGAAATACAAAATACGCAAAATGAAAGCAGGTAAATTAGTTCTGATTTGTTAAAAAATAGTGTTTATGTATTTTCTGTGTCTTTACAGGTTTGCTTGCAGGCTTGTGGGAGTTTCCGAGTCTTCTGTTGGACGACAAAAGCTCTGAGGTGAAACACAAGAGGGCGCTGTGTGCAGAGATCAGCACCTTAGTGGGGATCAACCTGAGTGAAAGTAACTTCAAGTGTGTGGGAGAGGTGAGGGTGATCTGTTATATCCAGAGTTTTCTGCAAATTAAAGTAAATATGACCCTGTTTAAGCTCCTTGTGATTGATCACCGATTGGCTCTTTGCAGGTTGTTCACATCTTCTCTCACATTCACCAGACATACGTGGTTCACAGTCTGAGTTTGAAGGACCGCGACACACAAACACCAACTGAAAGTACACAGTGGCTTACCAAATCAGCTCTGCAGGAAGCTGCTGTGTCCACCGGAGTAAAAAAGGTTTTTATTTTGTTCACTCAGTGTGTGTGTGTGTGTGTGCGCGTGTGCGTGTGTGGATTGGATAACAGTACCTGCTGCACCAGAAATAGACTTGATTATCTCACACAGAAAGCACAGCAGAAAGCTCTTGCAACACGGAGATGCTTTTTGTCGTCTCCCATTTCTCATTACAGGTTTGTACTACAGTTTTGGAAAGGGGCTCCCTGGCTTAAAATCCTTTAATGACAAAAAAATACAGTATGTTGACAGCAGGAGTGTGTAAATCTTTTAATGTGAAGATTTTAGTAAAAATGCCAAAAAATCAACATGCCGATCATGTTTTCTCTCCTGCAGATTGTGAAGCTTTGTGATTCTGTAGACAGTCAAAAAGAACAAACATTAAAGGTAAGGACTTCACTGTATGCCTAGATACCTAAAAATGTACCTTATGCCAAATCCTGTACAAAAAAAAAGAATTCCACAATTATCATTTGTCTTTGCTTTTCTCGCTCAGGATGGAAAAAGGAAAAAACAAGCCAACATGAAGAATGGAAAGAAACATCAAACCACAAAAAAAAAAAACTGGGTGCAGCTAACATGAGCAGCAGACAGCTCTCCCTCAGCTCCTTCTTCAAGACAGTTAAAGACGAATCTGATTGATGTGTGAGAGTCCGTCTCTGCATTTTTATCTTTCTTTTTGTCTATCTGTTGCTTCTATTATTTTCCTCTTTTGTACTTATGACCTAATACCTTATATGATCATGTTTCTCAATGTATTTTAACATATAGTTACTTTTTTATTTTTTTGTGTCAGCTGTGTGTGTGTGCTTTTAAACTGTTTGAAAATCATAATAATATCTTATCCCAATAAAAATGTACTGTACAAAATAAATAATATCACTTTGCTTTAGTTTTATGTTATCTTATATTTTAATTTAGGACTGGTGCAGGGTTTGGCTTAAAGCATGTGAGTTCAAAAAGATAGTTTGAAAACGAGAAGGACAAGAGTATTGGTTGAAGTGCTTAGTGTGACAAGTTTTACTATCTGTAGAACCTTGTATCTATATAAATATATAGATATACCGATATATATATCAGCATAGCCCTGTTTAACTTCTGTTATCTTGAAGAGTGGGAGACGTATAGAAAGGGTATTTATGTAATATATATATATATATATATATATATATATATGGCAATATAAATCACGGTTTACAAATATAAAGCACCAAATCAACCAGTGAAAAATGAAGTAATGACAGTCGGTCCATAAAGTTTCGCATGGAAAAAGCGCCCTCTGCTGTGCTGAACATGTAACAACCGATTATTTAAAAGGAAAAAGAAGAAAAAAACAGGAAGTGATCCAAGTCGTCTTCTACATACTTTCTTACATTCAAGGTTACTAAAACAGAAGACGAACCTGAACTTTAACATTACTTCTCTTGCAGCAGCTCTGTTTCCTGTGCTGCTGGTCCCTCTGGTCTGACTTCATTCATTCACCACAGAAGAAGAAGATCTGGGTCAAGCTGAATGCAGGGCGGGTTGTAAGTTAAACTTTGCTCAGAGTTGCTTGCTAAAAAAAAGTGTCCAAAGGTCCTCCAGCATCTGAACGCTTTGCAACGTGTTTGTCAGTGAGTCGGTCTTTACGTTTAATCCCTGCAGATTTGAAATTGTTTCCTCTTGAATTAATTCAATTCCTTGACGTTTTCAGATGGCTTCTGCGTGGCAAACTGTCCTCTCTGTGCACCAGAGAATAGTGGACAATGGAGGTATGGTAATGATTATTTTTTACCAATATATTCAAGTCAAGCTTGAGTTTTGCAGCACATTTTTGCATTATAGAAGACATGCCCAGTTGTAAAAGAAACAGGCAGTGTGTGGGACTTTGGAGCTGCAGATGTGCTCCCCGGCCTGCCATGACAATGAATGCTTTGTGACTTTTCACATGATTTGTCCCCATAGCTTAGTTTTATGTCTATTATCTTGTTAGAGTAGGAGACAGAATGCGAAGGGAAATGGATAGATCATTATTAAGTTCTTGTCAATATGAGACAGAATCTGACATTTCTTAATATTTCTGTGAATAAAATATTTTAGGATTTTTGAACATATATTCGGTGCAAAACACTGAAACATAACAAAAAAATGTAAGAATGTGTCGTTGCAGAGTACAAATAAAGAAAGACCTTAAACAGAGCTGATTGTTGAGTTCTATAGAGATGTGTAGTATCTGGAATAATGACTTAATAATGCTCAGAAGTTCCTGATGCAGAGCTCTGTTATGTTCCAGATAAGAGGACAGACCCGTGGCTGCTGGTCTACTCCCCTGTCCCTGTGTCCATCATCTTCCTGCTTTACCTGGTTGCGGTTTGGCTTGGCCCTCGTCTGATGAAAAACAGACAACCTGTTGACCTCAGACTCGTTCTCATTGTTTACAACTTCGCCATGGTCGGCCTGTCTGCCTACATGTTCTACGAGGTGTGTTTGTGCTGCGTTTTGTTGTAAAAGATCAGACACAGAGCTGATGGAAACATGAGCTTTTACCTGACACGTTGGCATGTTTCCAAAATGCTGTTTATATTCTTTTGAGTTTCTGCTTCCTCTTTGGCTTTTCTGCCTCATGATATAAACGTTAACATGACTGTTGTACTTTTTAAAGTAATTCTATGATTATTTAACAGTTCCTGGTCACATCCTGGCTCTCAAACTACAGCCTCCTCTGTCAGCCTGTAGACTACAGCACCAGCCCACTCGCAATGAGGGTAATAGTCATTTTACGTTTAGTCCCTTTATTTTGTTTGTGCAGAAATGTAATGAAACAGAAGCCACATTTAGGACATCATTTACAGTAAAGCTAACAATGCAGTATGAAGCACATGAGATACAGATGTCAAATGAGTCATGTGTAAAATTCACTTTTCTCCATCCTGTGCCGCTTCTAGATGGCCAGAGTCTGCTGGTGGTTTTTCTTCTCCAAAGTCATAGAGCTCAGTGACACGGTACACAGTATTTGGTGTAACATTTAAAACATCAGTGCAAATTTAAGGTGTAAAAATGTGAAATGTTAACTTCAAGAGTCTTCTCTGTTTATCTCCATGAGCAGTTCTTCTTCATCCTGAGAAAGAAGAACAGTCAGGTGACTTTCCTTCATGTTTACCATCACGCCACCATGATCTTCAACTGGTGGGCGGGAGCCAAGTATGTGGCAGGAGGACAATGTAAGACAATTATGTTGTGGGATTAGAGTTTTTATAGGTTTCTTATTGTCAAAAAATCCCTGTCAAAACAAATCTAACAAAGAAATGGTTGTACTCAAGTGTTTGACTACCACTGTTGTCCAAATGTATTGAAATGAAATGAATGAGGCGCACTTTTGAAGTGACATGTTCCCAGAGAGTTACTCTACTACATAAACGTGTAGTAATCACCATCTTAAAGTAATACAAATATGCCTGATTGAGAAACATTGAACTACAGTGAGCAGCTGTTAAGCTGTATAACATATAATTTATTTTAAACAGAACTATATCATTAGGATTTAATATTAACTGTAGGAGGGGAACAAACACAAGTCTGATAAATAAGGGCCATAATCAAATATTAAGAGTTCGCCCAGTTTATAATGTTTTTATAATATGTGCAGGTTTTGATGTCTGTCGTTCAGTTGAAACTTCTGGGTGAAGTAAATTCTGTTTCTATGCTGATAGTTAAGTCAAAACTGTAAACCAAAAGCATGAAGCATGCATTGGAAAGATATGGAAAAAAAAACAAACAGCTGCAACAAAACTGTCAACTTAAATTAAAGTTGGCGCTTGTTGTAATAATTAATATTATGTTGTCTTAATGGCCAAATGCTATCTGAGTCCATTGCATAGAAGTTGTTCCGTAAATATCAAGAGCTTACTTACACTTTATTTTTTAAATATAAAGCTCTGAAACTAAACTAAAATATTACTAATAAAAAGTTGTACTATGTTATTCTGCTGCCTCACACTCTAAAACTCCACTATCAAAATGTAAAAGCTGCCCTGAAAGTTTGTTCATTCTTTTGTTTATACCTCATTCCTGCAGCGTTCTTCATCGGCCTGGTCAACACCTTTGTCCACATCGTGATGTATTCTTACTACGGCCTGGCTGCCATCGGGCCTCACATGCAGAAGTACCTGTGGTGGAAGAGATACCTCACGTCTCTTCAGCTGGTGAGTCTAGCATTAAAGAACTGTGAAGATTCAGACTCCTTTTTTCTTGAAACAAAGCAATATGAGCTGTCCTAACTGCTTCCCCAGGTGCAGTTTCTGCTGTTCCTCCTGCACACTGGCTACAACCTGTTCACAGAGTGCGACTACCCCGACTCCATGAACATGGTGGTGTTTGGTTACTGCATCAGCCTCATCATCCTCTTCAGTAACTTCTACTATCAGAGCTACCTCAACAAGAAGAAGCAGAAATAGGACTGAAAAACACACTTTGTGAAAGAAGCCGACAAGTCTGTCTGCAGTACTCATGAGCTTCCACTAGAGGGAGCAACGTGTCTGGGAAATAAGTGCAAGTGAGCCGAATGAACTTTAGCATTATTTTGTAATTTCTATACAGAGGCACACACTTCATCATGGTCATACAATTATTTATTATTTAATAGAGAAATGACAAACATTCAAATGACTGCTGTAAACAAACTGTACATTTTTACACATAATAATAAAGTAGGTTGGTTTCTCTGTATTATTGCTGAATTATTGAGTTCAGACCCTCCTCCAGAGATGAATCCCAAAAAAAAAGAAAAATCACATAACGAATATGGAAATGCAAACACCTTTTTTTCACTGTTACAACAACACAGCAAAATGATATAAGTTTGTCTACACTTCAGTCTAAAACAGATTGAAAGATGTAGATGACAGCGACAAACAGGATGAGGAGAGATGGCAGTTTTGTAATAATTACAGTGAATATATTGAGGCTGAAAAAACAGATATATATTCTTTGAGAACTGAATTATTCTCCACCAGAGAGAGAAATCATATGGATGCTGGAATGTTGAAGGGAACATATTACAAAAACATGTAATTTAAAGTGAGTTAAAATTCAAAATATGCTGGACAAAAAGCTACATTTAAAGGGTCATAAGGGTCTCCTGCTCATAACACATTGGACGTTTATTAAAACCCAGAACTTAAAGGAGCAAGATTAAACACAGAATGATGCAAGAGAGATTGAAAGAGTCAATAGTACAGGTCAAGCTCCAACTATACTGAATCCTCCAATTCCCATAATGCAACTCTATGTCTTTTTATAAGAACCCCCCCAAGCCTGTTTAATGCCCACATACTTAAATCTCCAGGTCCAATGTAAGTTTGAAACAAAGGCTCACTGTGTAAATCTCAAAATATCCCGAACTACATTCCAGAAACACTGACATCACTATGACCTCACTATGACATCATTTCTGTTTTTTTTGTGTGGTTGCTAGTACTCATAAACCAATCATGTGTTAAATCAACTGTTTATCCCTTTTATAGAATGGAAAAGCAGCAAACACAAATTGGGGTTATTTTCTGAAACTAGGCTCACAAAGTGGTGTTCAGACAATACTGCAAGGAGTACAACTCAAAGAGTTTGAGACACTTTGTTTCGCCTCTGTGGATAATTAGAATAGTGTAATTTGTGATTTAACCATTGAGAGTCAGGTAAAAAGTCAAACTTTTTGCAATGTATGTCTGCTCCATCTTGCTGGTTTTCCTGGTGTGATAAGGCGTCTGTGGAAAGACTTGGACTGCAGACTAGTAGAGGAGGTGTGCTGAAGCATGCCCTGCTCCAGTGCTGCTCTATGTCTCTGTGTAGACAGAAGACATGTGGCTCAGGCTGCGGTCGAAGCTGCCCACCTGGAAGAAGATGCTCTCCTCTGGGCTTGAGGAGAACTGGCACCCTGCGCCGCCCTGAAGCTCCTGGGTCATACTGAAGCCTGGAACAGATGAGATAAGTTTGTTTAGCATTTGATGACATCAATCAGGTGTTCCTTTATGGTTCTGGCATGAAGGCACAATCTCCACGATCACAGACTCGCAGAAATGAAATGAAATGCCTTCTACTGGTGTCATGTCAGTTATTTCAGTTTTCTTATTGTCATTTCAATCATAAGCAGTACACAGTGAAAACCATTTTTGTTAATCTCACGCCTGGATGCTTGGAGTGGCAGAGGTAGTGTAAAAACAGAGCAGCAACAGCAGATCTACCAGTCATTATAAAGTGCAGCTAGTAGTATACACAGTGTATATTGTTCAAATAGACCTGAACATAGAAGGTCAAGAAGTTGCTATCCTACTGTGAACTCGTCATGTGTGTGAGAGGGATGATGCAGATTTTACAATGGCAAATTGCACTTTCTGCGTGTCCCCATTTCAGCTCACTCACCTATGGGATTTACCCAGAGTTCATTGCAAATTTGGTAACATGAAGAACGTGATTGCCCAGCCCAACAAATGTTTGCATATTAAAGTAGTATTTAATAAATTTGTATGTTTAATGGAGCATCTTGTTTTTTTTGTGCACCGTGTGATGTCGTTATAGTGAGTCCTAATCCTCATTTTTTAAACAATCTCAAGACCTCACAGACTCTCACACCACTCACTCACGCACTGCACACCTGACAACACTTAAGTTTGTGGGCGTTCATTGGTAAGGGCTTCATGGTTGATCTTGGGATTTGGCAAAAGACTCACCTTGAGTACCCGTGTTGCTGGTGGACATGTGGAAGCCGTTGTGTTGATGGGAATTATAGGCGTGAGATTCTCCTGGGACGTGGACGCCATTGACTGTCTGCTCCATCCTGTATGAGTCTCCGAAGTGGAAGCAGCTCTGGAAGCTAGCCTGGTATTCTGGGAGACAGAGAAAAATAGAAGCCAGACTTGATCGACTGCCACCAGTGGGTATGGTTGATTGTTTCAGATGTAACTAAGCATCCCCTCCATCCAGCTGAAACCTGATGTGGATCTCAAATTTATGACAATACTATATTTGTGCTTTTTCTAACTGTTCCAGCCCCATAGTATGCAACATGTGTCCCAATGGTCTCAGTCTGTACGACCGCAGGAGTCACAATAATAGGAAAGCAGTCTATCGTGGAACACTTTTACGCAACTCCCCGACCGCGGCGTGGTTACAGAGACGTCCATGTGTAGATCTTTACAGGGAAAACTGTGTTTAAGGCATTAGGAAAAAAAAAAAGCTCTGGACTGACAGCTGAGCGAGCCATGTTCGTGCTTTGAGAGACAGATGAATACATGAGCCAGCATTTTGTTGGCTAATTCAGCGCAGGGAAAAGGCTTCCGGCGTGTGGTTTTCCCTGTTCTGTCTCTATGACTCTAATCTTCCTACGTCCTAAAAACACTCGGGGGCAGAATTGCTGCTCTGAGAGACGACTTCCTCCCTGCAAGGCCTTTCATGTGGGCCTGCTGCTACAGTAAGCGATTGAAAAAAGGACACAGGGGCGCTCTTATAGGAAGTTATATGAAAGTAATACCACCCGGCTACATGTTTCTGAACCACCTGCCACAGGATAAAAACATCAGGATATTAAATTGAAACGCCAATGAACATTTTTCAAATTCAAGTCAAAGCAGATTTCCTGAAACAAGCTATTCAGCAGGACGTCTGTGGGTCGGTCTTACCGTCATTGGAAGGCTGATGGTGGTGATAGTGAGAATAGGGCTTGTGTTGAGGGTGGACGTGCTGTTTCTCCAGTGAAGGAGGAGGAGGTGGAGGAGGCGTCCCTGTTCCCTTCATCCCTGGAGACAGGAGGGGACCCGACAACCTGGAGGAGACGCAGAATTCATGGATGATTTGTACATTTAGACATCTAGATCTGTTCCTTTTATAGACAATCCCAATCATTTTTCAATAAAATTCTTCATGCTTTGTGACGTCCCAATCAAAACCGGCGCTACACACTGGCTCGGTAACCACACAGTCTGACAAACCCAGCAGAGCATTTTAGAGATCCTAAACATACAGAGGAAGAAACGTTCCAGGGCTGTGGAAACTTGGGCTCCCCACATGTAATCGTCCTCCTACCACATATTATGATCTTAAGTCAACAAACAGCAGAGTGTGCATTCAAGTAAAACCAACCCCCTCTTTACACACACACACACATACACACACACACACGCACACGCACACAGCCCACAATTTCAGAAACTACAGGCTTTGTGTGGAGAGAATAAAGCATAATAGTGTTTACATGAAAGACTTTTCGAGAAAGAAGAAATATAAAGCTGACATGTTTGTGACTTTGTGGACTCTAAGAGCCTACAGAACAACTCTCGTCACCGCAGCAGCATCTTTTTGTGGGTATTGATCATTTAAATAAAGTTCTAGTTCAGTGGTCTTAAATCTCCAAGTTCTTTAAAGTGGAGCATGACTGTCAAAACATCTGAGAATTACACTGTGCGCTAAAACAACCACAACGTAGAGATCAGAGAGAATGGTTGAATATTACAATAATACCAACTGATGGACTATCCACCACTTAGCATTAAAGCGAAACTGGTTCAGCATTTGAAAAACTCGCAGACTCTGCTGCATTCTTTAGTGAGTTTGTGCTGAAGCTGTCAGCAGAGACCACATTCTTTAAAACATATCATCTAACGTCAAAAGTATGCCGATATCATGGTGGTTGTTATTTATTTAAAATGTTCAGAGTGCACATCAAGGGGTTTTTCAATATTTGGAGAACAACATCATGTATTTTAAGGGGAATTCCACCTCAAATCAAAGTTGTCCAAACATTAGTAGAATTATAAAACCTCTTTTAAGACATGCCTCAAACACCTGAGTCAACTTTGCATAAAAAGTCCCCATTGAGGTCTCGCTAGGTCATGAGGAGTGACATTCCCATAAGAATAGCACAAGTCTGAATTGAATCTCTCTAAAGGAATACTTTGATTTTTCTCATAAATACAATTTCTTGCTGGGAGTTCAATGAAAACTGATACCACTTTCATGTCTGCACTATTGATGTGAGACGAGAGCCATGAGAAGGTTAGCTTAGCCTGGCACAAAGACTGAAAGGAAACATTAGGCCAGGCCAAAAAAGAAACACAACAGCCTTAAGCAAAACCTCTAATGCTCAGAAATCAGTGCATTATATGCTGTTGACCTAATCAATGCAATGCATTTTTAATTACATGAAGGGCGGATGCAGAATTTTTGACCGGGTTGGCCTTATGAAGGGGTTTACGTGCAAACTCACATATGTATAACATTAATAACGCCCTCTATCTCCACTAATCATATCTCCTTTAAAGTCCTCATGAACTCCTGTGATATCTTAAATGTTCATTTTTTTCTGCCAGATATATTTCAATAAAGCATTATCTGAGTATTTTTACTTCAATATATCTGTATTTTCTCTTCAAATGTCTGATGACTCACCCTGCACTCAGGGGTGTTAATACATTCTTTGACCAATTAAACAGTTTTGTCAAAGCTAAAGAACCAATCAAATTCATCACAACGTAATGTGCCGCCTTCTACCTTCTGATTGGTTCAATCCCGTTTAAATGAAGACTTTCACTACACCTGTTAAAGTTTCATACAGGATTTATATTCATGTGTATATATTTGTAACTTTAAGAAGTAACACTCTATTCTTAAATCTTTAAGGACTCAAAAAGAAGGATGTTTGTTTGAACAATAAAAACTACTAACAGAAAGGAAATGTGCTTTGTTGAAATACAAAGAAAAGCAGTCCGTTGCAACACAGCCCAAATAGTTTATCTAAACATGAAGTCCTGCATCTGACAGGGAAAATAGCCAATCACTGTTTAGGATTTCAGGGTGGCCAATGGGGAGGCCAAATCCTGATCCGCCCTTCAAATGTGACATGTTAAATGTAAAGTTTCTGTAAGATGAATTTTGTTAAAGCTATACTAACTATGTCTCACCCTTTTATAAGTTACAGAGATCTTAATTTATTGCCTTCATCAGATCTATCTTCCTGGAAACACTAAGCAGTAAACCATGTCTGGTTTCTGTTCACTTAAATGTTAAAAATGAAAATGAACAAGAACTGTCAAAAGAAATGTACTCTTGACATGAAGTTAATAGAACAGAAATGTGCTTCTGCCTTTAAAAACAGAACTGGCTAATCACTCCCAAAAATATTCAACAGCTACTTAGTGCCCTCTTATGAGTGCATATCAGGAATGCCAACACATAAACTGCTGCCGTGTTACTATGTGCTGCTTTGCACCAGCATATGGTCTGCAGTAAGCGGTATATGAATGTGATGACAGAGTGTTGCTGGAGGCAGGCGAGCCCTCAGATGACTGCTCACTGCTGGCCTGGCTGGAGTCTCCAACATGACCTACTGCTTCATGCATGGGGGACGTCTGTTTTTTAATAGAAAAGACAGTTTGAAGGCAATTTTATTTAATACTGGTACTTCATTGTAACTTCACGTTTCTCCTTTCCACTACATTTATGTGGAAAGAAATAACAATATGCTATACTGGCACAAATATTTATTTATTTATTCACTTTTTTTTTATGGGTATGATTCAATATACATAGATAAACTGAAACCAGCCGTTCGATGTATCAGTGTTTTTCTAGCAGGTGCTAATTTGCAACACCCGTCCTTAGAAGGTGTAAATAAAAGATTAAAAACATTTAAAAAGGAAAAAGGAAAGGTTACAGCAGGAAACAATAATACACACATTTAGCTGTGACAAAGCTACAAAAAAAAATCAAACATGAGAACAAGTCTGTTGCTGAACTAACCAGGATTTGGTGGCTCTCATAAAAGTCGTGAAGTTTGCAGAAAGTTTCAAGTGATCAGATAGAAACTTTCAAGATTTTGCTCCTAGGTTTGAGCAAAAGATGTTTTGATAAAACATTACAGTTTCCACTTGAAGCTGCTCTGGTGAATCTGTTGCTGCCCTGTAGTCTCTGAGTGTGTTTGCAGAAAGGCTGAGGAGCAAGTCTGTTCAAACTTTTAAACATTTTTTAAATCTTGAAATCTTCTATTTACATAGAATACTGCAGTGATGATGTCCTATTTGTTTTCTCTAAGATGCTAACTTACAAACGTTATTGAGTTAAAAGACAGCATGGAGCATATGATGTATCCTCAAAGATTATACTGACCAAGTTAATATAAAATGGTTAGATTAGTTTCACCTCAGCAAGAAATTTCAGTAAAATAATCCAGAACTGTAATAAGTAGTTCATAAGTAGTAAAATTCCTTGTGTGTGTAAGCCTACCTGGCCAATAGAGCCGATTCTGATTCTGATAATAACAGAGGAAGACACTATGCCACCGTATTAAGACTTTTACTGCTGCTTTTTGAAGTGTTTTACTAACACTAACACACTAAAAACAATGACATATGGAGATATGGAAATGTGAAAGTTTGGTATCATCTGCATGTTCAAGATCTAAATACTCACAACTTCAATGTGTATGACATTATAACAAGCAGAAATAGGGAACATTTTAGCAGTATGAAGTAATACATCTTTAAAATGTAGGTGATAAGATTGAGAGCTTTGGGAAAAAAGCTGGTTGGAAAATTGTTCTGCATTCAGGGTTTTCTCTCTGAGTACCTTCTACCTATCAAAATGTTCATCTCAATGTCAAGTTTAAGTACTTAGCTGGAAATGTACTGCACTTGACCTCAATGTCCACCTCTTCAAATTTGAGGAAGCTTGTGTGGCACCCTGTGTCAGTCCAGCTCTGAAGAAGCTAGCTGTTAGTGAGCGTGGCTAATCCACGGGCTGGCACAGGACCAGTGCGTGGCCATGTGGTCCTGCAGAGAGCAGCATTCCCCCAGGAGCTGCTGTCAGCACAAAGTCAGGAAACAGTTATACTGTTCATATTTTTACAAGCTGCCTCTATGTGCAGCTAAAGTGAATCATAAGCTAATCACTGCCAGCTGCCACCGACCCCCCCTCCTTCTCTTGCTGCTCTCTAGCTCGATAGCTTCTCAGGCTCAAGGTATGAGGGGAATCTTTCATAATCCACATTAATCTTTAACCTGATATTTATCTTCACTGACCATCCTGTACTACTCTGTTTTTTTCCAGCCAGCCCACCCACCCCCGTCCTACTGCTGTGAGAGAGTGATTTGACCTTTGACCTGTTGATTCCTTAAGGCTGAGTTTGAGGGAATTTTAGGGTGAGGCTATGAGATTGATGGACCTAATTATAATAAATGTGAGGAAGGTTGAGAGGTTAGCGTGAGCGTGGACAGATATATAAAATACCTTTTGTGCTGTCTCTAACAGACCTCTGTTGCATGAAGATAATGTTGGAAGGAGATGCTAGCAATAAACTTTTATCAAGTGATGAGCTTGTAGTTTATAGGACCTCACTCTTTCTTACTGAAAATCCAGCTCAATGACTAATACCTAAGTTGAACAGTGAATTTTCCTGTGAGTAACATGGGAAAGCTGATGTCAATTTGGGAATGAGACAAGGTGAAGTTCATGACCTAACTGTATGCATGAAGTCCAGCCAAAACGACTTGTATTCAGGTTTGTCCTCACAGACTATTGTCCAAAAAAACATTACAAGGTGATGAACTCCTGCTGTGTGCAAGAGAAGTGGCTCTTGGAGTCTTGGCTCTGTCTACTGAGGTGTGATTGGATGGAAAGAAACCTGAAGATTCATGAGTAGTCCTGCTCTGCTGCTCATTCATCTTCCTTCACCTGCAACTCTCTGTCCCAACAGGGAACAGGGGGATCAGACTCCGTCCTCCACAGACACTACGTTCTCCACAAACACCAACTGCCTCCCCTCTCATCTGCTCCCATCGCAGCCGACCATTAAGCCCCTCTGATGAATGACGGGGGCTTCTTTGGCACAGACCGGTGGGAACTCTTCTGGTTCTGGTTAGCAAGCTAAAGCTGTGCTTGAGAGACAGACTACAGCATCCTGGCTAAAGCTAAGCTAAAGCTAAGCCAGCCCCGGAGGCCCCAGTGTGAAGAGCTTTGGATGTTTTGGGGGCCCTGAGAGCTTTTTGTTAGTCCCAGAAAATAAACCGCACTAAACACAAAGGATCTGTCCGTAATCACCATCCTTTGTGCAAAATATTGACTGTACATCATCTAAATCTTTTGTGTTGTTAACTATTTGTGCAGACTTGTTAAATGAAGACATTAAAAACAGAACACCACAGAAAGTATGACTGACTACATTCTAACATGAGCTACCTCCTCAAAAATGTTTTTGTTTGGGCTGCGAGATTGACATTCATTTTCTGGTTCACTGTAGAATGATAATGGCTGGGAGACAGATGGAGTAGAGTTACTAGCGGTGAACGTCCCCTTTAGAGCCCAAACTCTTAATGTAGCTCTGTGCCGTCCCTGCTGCCACTCTAATTCAATTAGCCCGCGTCAATCACTGCTGAGGTATCAAACCACCTCAGACTAATATTTGCAGAGGGGCTCTAATATCAATATGCAGGTAAAGGCTGTATACCCTCCCCTCTGCAATTATATAACCACATATGGCTGAAGCACTGAATGACAACATTTACCACCCATCCCTCAGTGAGCACAGGCCGCCGTGGTGGAACAGCCAATTGCATGATAGTTCCTACACACACGCACGTGTACGAACACTCACACACTCGTGCACTGGTTCCATGCGGATTGCTGAATGTATTTTAACTGGCATATTTTAATATTAGCTTCAGCAAAATGACACTGGTATTTAGAGAGTAAAAGGAGTCTAAATGGCCCATTTGAGCCAGAGTAAACACATTTAGCTATGAGGTCAGAGGCTGCCACACTAGAGGCAGGTTAGTTTGATAATTTTGTCAAAATGTTTAATGTCCTGCTAAACCGTTTGGGAAAAACAAGTGCGGCGCTGATATTGACTTTGGCAGCAGCCTGTATACTCAAGGCTTTAAACATGTAAATCAAATGCTCCATCTTCAGGGTTAATGTGAGTCGACGTTTCATGCCCAACTGGTTGCTCTGTAGGTCCCTGCCACAACCCGCTTTTTGATTCCTCCCCCCACCCTCAGTGCATGCTCTATGATGAACAGATAGGGCACCAGAGTATGTCAGTGTATGTGTGAGCCTTTAAGGTCAAACATCTTGATTTGATGAAATCTGCAAATTTGGAAATTGCTGCAGTTTTATTGCTGTCACGTCACCAGCGTGAAGGTGTAGAGGGAAAGCATGAACACAGGTACTGAAGTTATATATGTTAGGAAAACTATGATAATGATATTATATGATCGATAATGCTCTCTCTCTCTCTCTCTCTCTTCTGCTCTCAGGGAAACAACACATCACCTCCTAGATGCTTCCAAGCCAACCAAAAATCTTAGAGTGGCACTCGGACATTAACATCCAGCCGGTTTCTCCGCCTCGGCCTGCTGCTCTGTTTGTGCTGGAAGTCTGCTGTGCCTCACACCCCAATCATTCGCAATCATGTGTGTTTCCTGTATTACAATATGTAAACTCCTCTCACTCACACACACTCCCACACACTGAGACACACATGATACACAAACGCATACATGGCTCTTAGAGTAAGAAAGCCTTCAAACTTAATTTAGTCATAAGCCCATTCTGTATATACTCCAGTTAAAGTGCATATACACACGGAGACACCCAACGAGCAGACCACAGGGTTCAAATGAAGCATGTTTTCTTAACATGATCACTTTGCTAACACAGGGTTTATCATGCTTGATTCCATCCACTCTTTCTCAATGTTATTCAACTGTAAAAGACTGTTTTCCCTTTCTACCTCCCTGGTTTTTCGGCACATTGATTAATACAGTACACACTGTGCCTCCGACGACACTTGGGGCGCGTGTTCCTGTTGAACTGGCACTCTGGGGAAATATTCTGTGCTAATAGGAAACATGCTGAGCCTTGCACACACACGAGGAACAACACAGCTTCATAAAAATTAGTTGTTAATTTCTGCTGGAGTTTCTTCAATCAAGACAGCGTACTTTTGAGACAGCATTTTCCAAGCATTCTTGGAAGGTCTTAGGTATTCAATGTAAGAGGCAGCTTTATAAAAAGGATTCTTTTCAGATTTCAGTTTAATTCTTCATGAAATGTACTAGAGGTTTAAAACAAGACTTAATAGACTTAAGTGTCATACTTTGCTGCTTGTTCTTTAAAAGCATGGCCAGTTGTACTTAATTTAACAAGCATCAGCTTTTAGAGTTTTTATTCTAAAGCACTTTATTTCATGTTTTTTGTCTGATACCTCAACATATTAGCCCCTAAATCATAAGTATAAGGGGATTCATACAAACTGAAGTGTAAGATTCTGGGAGAATCTGTTGATTCTTGTCATCCAAGGTTAAAACAGCTCACAATATAAACACCAACAATGATACTATTATCACACTGCTCTCATTAGAGTATGAAGCATGTCCAGCCAAAGAGTTTGGTCATCATGCTGATGCTGTTGTCTCCAGTGGAGAGAGGGGACCTTATGCACACTCAGTGTGGTGCCAGAAGTAGAGCTGGTGATGTGTCATGTTGACCCCGTGGTGAGCAGCACAGCCCCTCTCCTCATGACGGATGCTTCAGGGGTTGTAGAGTTGAGTTTGTTTCCAGTGTCACGGCCAAATGGGATTGTCAGCAGGACGGAGAGGCTTAACCTAACATGATCTAAGAGGGTTTGCCCTGCTGTGATTCAGGATGATTCAAAGGAGGGAAACAATGGAGATCCAGAGGGTCCAAATTTGTGAGGATAAAATACTGTAAGCATTATAAAAGAAGATCAAAGTTGAAGTGACCTTTCTGTGTTTGCATATTTAAGTCCATACATTCATGCTACTGTGAACATCCACATATGTTAAGTGAAGGGGAATGATTGTGACATGAAGGCCTTCACTTATTGAAGATGTTGTTCATTAGTCTAGCCTTGTTGGTAACTTTAGCTTCAAAGTTTTTAACTCGCCTTCTTACTTGATTTCACCTTACATCTTTTAGTGTACTGCAGAGGCCAGCCAGAGAAAGTTTTGGCCATGTGGCAGAACTGGTACAAAACCTTACAGGGTTAATCAGGAAAAGCACACCTACTAGATTTAACATTTATATTTCCCAACCTTCAGACAAATGTATACATTTACCTCCCAAAACACAGATCTTTCATGTCAGAGTAAGTAAGACCAGGGATATAATGTAACAAAGCAATAGTACTTTGTTAAGATTACTTCTTCTGGGAGTGTCTATACCTTTACTTGAGGTTTTAAATTTCTGTCCACTTCTATTTTAAATGAATGGAAACTGAGAGGTTAAAAACTGAGGCTGGCAGAAATGCAACATCGTGGATTCCAACTGCCAAAAAAACCTTGAAAAGTAAGGTAAACCAAGTGAAAATCTGCCATAAGAGATTTCAAAGTTCTGGTTTTCCCTCTTAAGCCCACAAGAGAGTCACTACAGTAAGTAGAATGCAACTTTACAGTGATACTGAATGCATGATGGATTCAGAGACAGTAATATGGTCTTGTGTGAAATGTAAAACATTCTTAAAATTCCGACCACTTTCATAAACATCATTTGCTTGTTCGTTTACTTTCAATAATTAAGGACAACTAGTATAAGATTGTTTCTTGATACTTAAGAACAACAAATATCAAATCACTAAAAACTTTCAGAAAAGTAATATTAGAATAGCTGACCTTCAATTTTCATATTCTTCTTACTTCAAAATGGCTGGGGGCGCTGGTGGTGCAGTGGTGCAGTGGTTAGTGCGCACGCCCCATGTATGGAGGATGAAGTCCTACAAGCGGGCGGCCCGGGTTCGAGTCTGACCTGTGGCTCCTTTCCTGCATTTAATTCCCCACTCTCTCTCTCTCCCTGATTTCCAACTCTATCCACTGTCCTATCTCCCAAATAAAGGCACAAAATGCCCAAATATAAAACCTTTTAAAAAAAATGGCTGCAGTTGCTTCATCCAACCAGTAAGATTTATCTGAGTAAGACAAATGTGTCTGAGTAAGACAAATCTCCCCAGCATATTATATCCATGTTACAGATCCATGGAGGACTCACCCGTCTCTCGTGCCGTCCATGGCAGCCAGCGGGGAGAGGTGATGAGGGCTGTTAAGGTCGCGGTCCAGTCTGTGTTGTCGGGAGGGCAGTTCAGTGACGGAGGCAGAGGTGGGGTTAGTGGTGGGGGTGAGGAGGTCCACTGAAGCACTGTGATGGGGGGTGCCGGAGCCAGTGTACAGGCCTGAAAGACAAACAAAGCTAATTCAGTAAAGGTGCCAAACAAACCCAAGAGCCATGCACTCCGAGTTTCCTTTAAGCAAATTAAAAGCTATTTCATGGTTACAGAGTTTTGTTTTGACAACCTTCATCCAATCAGATCGCTTTGTGAAATAAAATGTTCTGTGTTTGTTCTGTTTGTAATTTAGGGTACATTGTTTTAGCTGCCATGGGGATTGGCCTTGCTTGTCCTTTCGGCTGTTTGTTCTTATTACGCAATAATAAACCAAAATGTTTCATGTGTTTATACAGTGACAAGTAGGCTATTCAAATGGAGAATACAGTGGTGGGATGTCCTCTGACGTATATGTGAATGTGTGTACGTGTATTTGTGTGTGGATCTGTGTATTCTGACACTCATGATATGGTTATGTGAGTACATTCTGGCATATATTTGATTTTTGATTTTTTTACATGTGCATGTATGCATGCATGTTTGTGTTGCTGCAATAAACTTTATGTGCACGGCTGGAGATATATAAAAAACATTATGAAGGATTGTCTGACTCTGTTTTAAACGGTCCAATACGTCTTTTTCTGTTCAGTCATTAAGTACTTATAAATCATATTGATTAACATTTTGTTGACACAGTGGCCAATTTCTTTCTGCTGTTATAAGCTGCATTTACACACTGATCCATTGTTCTTATTCAGAAAGCAGCTAACAAGGGTCTCTACCACTGTCTAACTATATCAGTAAAGATACAGAACGTTTTTATGTTGTTTTTAAAGTGAAAGTACCCATAAACTCCCAGACCCAAAGCCCAATTGAATTTTTAAAGTCTTAAAATCTCTTTTTACATCTAACAGATAGCCCAAAATTAAAGGTATTTCTTCTAAGTCAAATAAATGTTACAAAACTAGAGTTATTTTAGAAAGCTTGGACCTTTAATTTGCAACAATATGTTTCCAGTCTGCAGTAATCTGACCTTTCCATCGAATTACTTGACATTTTGACAGGTTTCCATTAGTTATATCTGAAAATGTTTATCCCTAAAGTGCGACTTGGGACAAATCGAGCTGAGATCTAAATGTGCACTTAAGAACTACACACAAAGGACATCCAAGTGTTGATAACAGGGGTTAACCTTGATATCCACTTGTTCTCCCAACACAATAACATCTGCTTTCCCCATCTTTACCCTTTGATTACTTTTCCAGCATCTGCGAGGAAAGAGTCGCGCTTACTGTCTGGGGCAGTTATCAAGCAACGAGAGGAGAGAACAGGACGAGCTGAAAGGAGGATAAAAAGATCAGCGCTCCTGGTTTTGCAGTTTTCCCAGCCCAGCTGTTCTCAAGTGGAAGCATGCCAAGGTCTGATCTGACAGCACTCTGAAATGGCTACAAGCCTGATTCATTACCCCCAAATCATCAGTCACAGACCTTAAATGTTTTCCCCTTTAGCCCCAACATCTGCTACCAGACCGGCAAAAACAGTCGACAAATAATGGCTTTGATTGCCTCAATTTTATCTCTGGTTCCCCTTGTGGAGGGAGAGAGAGGGGATCTGATGGAGGGTTTTGTTCTGAAAGAATTGAGAATGGTCTTTTCAAGGCATCTACTTGGGTTCAGGTAATTAGCTGTGTTACAGTCAGATCGAGAAGTAGATCAGCCTCTCAGTAGCATGTAAACCTCTGCACTAAAGTTATGATGAGACCTTCCTCTGGTTAATCAGAGAACAGTGTAATTATGCGCTATAAAACAGAGAGGGGCTTCTCGTAAGTCACCCTTAAGTCTTGTGAATAAGAGTAGACTTATAACTGACGAACAGGAAAACCAGTCAGGCTCTAACTGGAAGCATGACTCATTTTCTGCTCCACAAGTGTTAATGATGGGATGGCTGCACACTTTGCCCCACCTCTTCCATGCATCCTATTGGCACTAGAACAAAGTGAAGCTTATGTAAATTGGGATCCTCAGCGCCAACCTGCAACATCTTTGCTGGCCTCGAATAACTCTGTATCCCAAAAGCTTTGGCACTGATTCAAGAGCAAGCTCCTTTGGGCTTTGAAACATTTCAAACAAGAGAGCAAGCAACTTCCTCTCACAAACAAAGGGAGGCTGCGGAGAAAAAAGCCAAAACTCAGAGGCCCGCTTTGAGATTCAAACACAAGTTGAGCATTTACAGTCGTCAAATGTGTGCTGGAGTTCCAGCAACAATAACAGAGAGCAACGGGGCGCCTGGACAGGGTAGATGCAGAAAACAGGGACAGATGTGTTCATAAATGGAGGACGCTGCGGGGCCTCTCTTTTGTCTTTAAGATTGTTAGAATCCATTTATCTCTCTCTGCTACCAATCCAAAGTACTGTTGACATTTGGTTATGGTCAAATTCATCAATTAGATGTTTTCAAGGCCATATGTGATGAATGAAAAGTTTGGAGCTGTTTGTCATGGAAATGGCTTTTGCAGTTTCTGCATGACAAGATGACGGGTTAACATGAAATGCCAACTACTCAACCAAACTTTGGAATTTAAATCATTAGGTCCAGCAGCTAAAGTGTTGATTTAAAATGTGTAGAAGCATTTACAGAGAAATTATAGCTGTGTAGTTTGTTTATGTTTGACCAAAGGCACCATATTGTAAGTATGATTTTTACTGCCTGGAAGCACAAACTTACCACAATACATCTACAGGAATGTTGACATTGCTGTTGATTACCACCTATGACTCTGTGATTGCTTTGCCAGGTGTTGGGATTTTTTGTGGTCAGACCTCACTTGTTGGCCTGATCGTAGGTTTTGGAATAAATACTCCCTGGTCATCCATATTTTGAGACATGGCCAGTATCACAGACTTTGCAATTGCTAAACCACAGAGAAGGTCCTACCCATGTTGTAATTCAAGTAAAAATCAAACAATAAAGGGGTTTTACTATTTATATGTTCTATATTCTTTTTATGTTAATTTTAAGATTTCAATTCAATTATATTTAAAGCTCCTACGTGTGATTTTTAGATGGTTATGAAACAGACTGAAATTCATACTGATGCCTCATTATTGGCTACAAAAGCAAATGTGATTATTATCATACAGATTGATGCTTTCTAAATAGTTTTTTTAATGCCTGAAACCACTGCCATGAGGTAGTTGGCAGATGAAGTGTTTTTGCATGCTGCAAAAAAGCCTTTCTTTTAGATTTTCCTTTTAAAAGATGGTCAAGTTTAGACAGCAGGACAAGATGTTCGTTAAAAAACATAACATATGTACAGGGCAAAATAAGATGTATGTTCAAAGTCACAAGGGATGAGAGCCACCAAATTGTCCAGTAGGGGGCACCTAAATCAACTCAAACTGAATGTACCTTACAGTATGTCTAATTCCTCCCAAATGGCCAAATGTAGATGCGTATTGAGATTTGTACGAAATACTTATAGGCACCTTTCATAGCAGCCTCTGCCCCCAGTGGCAGAGCAAGACTTTTTAGACTGGGGTGACCGAACTAGGCCACTGACCTCCATCTTTTCTCCCTCACGAGGTCATAATCATGCATTTACAGAAAACAGTGGTATATTGTTCCATAAATAAACCTTGCAGAGTGCTCTTTTGATTGAAAGAGTCCTATATTAAAGTTAAAGAGTGACCAGCGTCTAAATCTTTAAGTACTAAATAAGAAGATGTATGTTCAAAGTCAAAGCAATTTAAAGCACTCCCAAAATGCAACAGGCTGCATTGAAATGAAAAGACTTTCATTCTGTTGTAACTATGGTTGTAACACAGTTTAAAAAGTTGATTTAAAAACTAGTCCCGCCTCTGACGATACAAATAACCAATCATTGTTCAGGATTTTGAGGTGACAACTGGGGTGGCTAATCAGATGTCTAGGGTGGCCCTGGATCCCCCTGCCCATCCCTTGGCTCCGCCCCTGCCTCTGCTTTTAGTGTATGAATGTGAATGGGTGAATGTGACAATAAATAGTGTATGAAGAGCCAACATCTTTTTTCAGAAATGTAAGGAAATATCAGTGTGTTGTGTAATGGAATGTAAAGAGCTACAGAGTACCGTATACTAGTATATAGTGTACCTCTGAGTTATCTGCTATTTCATCCTTTGTAAGGAGGAGAGGTTAATATTATCAAGGTGTTGGATGACAGAGCAGCATCCCTGTGTGCATGTGTACCTGTGAAGATGTCCTGGCCGAGTCCAGGAGAACGACCATCTTTGCTGTTGTAGAGGTGCTGAGAGGAGTTAGAGCTCTGGAGGTGCTGCATGGACAGACATTCACTCAGAACATCCTGCTCCAGGTGAGGACAGGGCCGAAGCTGTCGATCACAAGGGGAGACAAAAAAAACCAGAAAATGATTACAAGGAACCATGTTGAGTCATTTTAAGAGAAATACATCTGGTTTGATTACACAATCCTAAGAACACAGCACGGCTTCAGTTTTGTCTATTTGTAAGTCCGACCCAATGTGGGGTGTGTTTTCTCTTTTGCAATCATGTGATTGTAATGTTAATTTGAAGCAGTAACTCGGAGGACAAGAATATACTCTCAGTCAGGGGGAACCAAAGGGAAGATCATACGCTCCTTTTTGAGTCATGTGTTGGCCTCGGACCTTGCGGGTAAGGGATCACTGTACCAACTCAGAGCCAACTCAAGATTGCTTCTGTTTCTCTCTTTGCCAACAGTAAAGGGGGCAATTGAAGACACATTTCAGCTGGAGAGTCTGTCACACGACAGGCAGAGTAGAACCTAAGCTTAGGAAACCTGTTCTACTTGGAGAAACTGGACATCAGCTTTATGGATCTGTTGTGTACATTAGTGGGTTTGTCTTTGTTAAAACACCACATTGTTGATGAGCACTGCACTAATATTTCTTTACTTCCTTTATTCAGGAGATGTACCTTTAGGCTGTAAATTCAAAACAGGGGCAGGGACAGAACACTTGATTATGGCTTGAGATTTGACTCAATTATCATTTAAGATATTTAAGGACAAACAAGGACTTGTTTTGTATTTACTATTAAATATCTAATCACCTTACTTAAGGCTACTGTGGGGAGTTATGAACAAACTGGAATTAATACAGATACCTCAATATGAGTTTTACATCAGAAAACACTACTTTACATTTACATTTACTGGACAAGAGAAAAGAGGTACTGCTAAAATGAGAATTCCTCATAGTAGCGCTTACCAATTTTGTCATTTTAAATCTACATCATTTAGATCATTAGCGTTAGATCAGATATTCACTTGTAACACTTAGCTTTGTGAAGCCGGTAAACCTGGCAGTAACTAGGTGTACATTTTCTGAAACTTGTTAGAGGAATGCTTGTTAGTACTGGTATTATGTTCTTGATACACCAATGCAATAATCTGCACTTCATAAACAAACATGATGCAAGGCTAAGTTTAAACAAAAGAACAGCTGGTATATGACTGCTAATCATTTGAATTCATGAATGTGGGTTCATTTCATCAGATAATAAACATGTAAATTGTTCCAGAACATATTTGTAAATCATCCTCCCTTATTTATAGATTACCAATACAGCTACATAGATATTTGCCCTGTTGCCTTATTGTATATTCTGTCTGTACATACAGTATAGAGCCTTGAAAACCAGGGTTTAAAGTCCTCGTTGTTTCACACATAAAGATGATTCTGATAACTTTATGATTTTTTTTTCTTTACTTTATGATGCCGACCTGGCAATGTAGCTGAGAGTCATTAAGATCAGCACAACCCAAAGTATATATTGCTCGAGTTACAGAGGAGACAGTTGATGTTGTTCACTCAGACTTATTAGTGTAACCATCGGTCTCCCTGAATCTGACTGTCCATCAACAAATCTAACCCTTTGTCACTGAATGAAATGTTCCACATTTAGATTTTCTGGTTGGACTGCAGATGGGAACGATCTTCAACATTATCACTAAAATTACTCGCCCATCACATTATTGCAACAGAGTCTATTCACCTCAGTGAGCTGGTGTGCAGAAATCAACTTTATCTGTGTGTGCGTGACTACAACCCTTTCAGAACTTCTGCCATCCTGCCAGCGAAAATCCCCCAGGACTGAACAACTCAGGGTGCCATATTCCAACGTTTTACAGCTGGCATCACGTACGTAATGATTTCACTCTGAGATATTGTATGTCAGTCAATGTGTATAGGCATGTCCTCCTGGGGATCCTTATGAGTGCCCTGCAAAACATTCATCACATGTAATTGGGGCTCTGTTTTCCCCACAGCGACACTCCTAACAGTTTCTCTCCAGGTCCGCTCCAAGAGTGGAGTCAGAGCGCTTGTTTGACATTTGTCCATAACATCTGGCCACTGGAGGATTCTGCAGTACAGCTTATTAACAATGCTACAAGCTCACATGTGTTTCCCTTTACAACGCTAAGCAAAGGAACACATCATCCAGCCTGCCACTATCCAGCTCCTTCCACAACAATGAGCCCTTTCTCTGTTATTTACCCACTTCCAGTCAGGGAAAGAACCAGCTTTCTGACCATGAACATGATGAAATGTGGTCAAACCTATTGTTTGGAAACGACATCCCTGCCCCCAACCCCCCATCCTCCAAACCCCTCAATGAAGTCAACCAGCTGAATGTGTGGATAATGCACATCAGAACAACAGAGATTACATGAAGCTGTGTGTTTGGGAAACCTTTAGCCCATGTGTATTAACTGTATTAAAGTCATGCTGGAGGTCTTCTGAAAGAAGAAGGTGCACAGTAGCTCTTGAGGAGGGAGAGCAGTAGTGCACTTTACATAATACACCTGAAAAAAAGCTAAAACAGGGTTGTATGCCAGATAATGTAAAACAGGCCAGATCATATTCTTCATTAAATTATTTAAATTAATGCATTGTGTGTTACCTCCAAATTAGAGACGTAACATCTATCTTTCAGTTCTTCATCATTTGACACCAACAGTACTTACAAATGTCTCACAAACTACAATTGTGACGAGCACAGCGCTACACCTTTAAGCTTTGTGTCGCGTTGAGTCCGCGTGCTGTCTTACCTTTCTACGCACCTGTTGCTCTTTGGCTGAGTGGATCTTGACATGTTTGCGTAGGGAGCTGGGATCTGTGTAGCGCTTAGTGCAGCCGGGGATCTGACATGCGTACGGTTTCTACAGAAAGATAGAAAAATATTTCATTTAAGATTTAAAAGTGTGAAATATACATTTAAAGTCACTTTATTGTAAGGACAGAGATACAAGTATTCTGGGTGTGAGTAAGCAAAGTGAATCCACAGTTAAGTTTGAAATCAGTCAAAGTGAAGGCAAAGGTAAAGTCATACCTTTCAGCTGACAATGACAGAGTTTGAAGTAAGCAGAAGAGGAAGGAAAAAAGCATGAAAAAGAAAAAAAGAAAAGATTAATTATAAATATTCAAACACAAATTGCCCTCCTGTAATATTCATTTATTGATTCGGGACTCTAAAACTGCTCTAGGTTTTATTTTGTTTGCTCTGCTGACCTTTTTAAATAAAGCTGGACATGTTAAAGTGATATAGGACTGCCATAGGGAATTTTTTAGACTTGATATTGTGGACTAACAAATTTGTATGTTTTATTAATGTTGTATATTGTAACTTTTTACAGAATGTTAGTATGTAATGTGATAAAGACTCTTGTTGTAAAGAGAGAGATGTAGGCAGATCGGAGTAACAAACGTGACATCTATAAAATGACGGCTCTCTCATGAAGTTTCCTCATTTCACATTCTTCTCTTTCACCAAACAAATATAGCATGTAGCTAGCTGATAGAGGGATTTTTTTCCCCCTCATGACAAATTTTTCTTTCATCCTCAGGAATATAGAATGGCCATTAAAGTGTAAGTGGATCCACATCTTTATTAGCTCTGTCTCCATACCTCAACCTTCTCTGTAAATAAGCCATTGTTATTGCAAGGCGCTTACGGTGCCACTCATCCCTGCTGTGTTTGTTTTGCCAAGCAATGCCCCCAATACAACCTTGAGGAAAGAAATCAAGCACAACTTCTGTGAAGAATAAATATCATTAAAGCTTGAAAATGATTTTCCCCCTAAAGTGTTTTTGGCAAGGCGGGAGACTGGGCAGCTACGGTGACTCCATTCACAGGGTGTTAATGTGAAGCCGTAAGCATTGAGGTCCCAGATTAGCTGTATCGTTTGTCCTTCTGTGGAAAGAGCGCGTGGTGGAAGAAAAATCCTTAAACGATGCAAAAACACATCTGCATTCAGAACTCCACTTACGTGAAAGTTCTGAATGATTTACTATTACGTGCACAAAAAGCAGCGGTGGCGGGCCAATACAGAAACACAGGGGGAAAATATCCTGGAAATCCAAATATTATAAAAAATACTGGATAAAGGAATATATATCTCAATTAATGTTCGCAATAATGTTGAATTTGAGCCTTTAATGATTCATATTACTATCAGCCAGAAAGTTTTTTAATTTCATGTGTTAATTTGGTATAGCCTGAATCTGCTCTGGAGAGTCAAGCTTTTTTTTTTTCTTCTAAAGTTAATTGTCCAATCATCTTCTGAAAAATCTTAAGTGAGTTAAAGAGTTGCTTCATTCTTTTTTCTGTCACAGGATTATTAGACGGGACCTAACTGAGGCCTTGAGGAGGGCAGGTGTTGTATGTTGAAAGCTTCTGAAGACTTCAGAGATCGTTTGTGATTTATTTTTAATAAATTAAATTAAATAATCAGACTCAAACTGAATATGTCTCTAAATCAAGACTTACAATAACTTAATCATGGATATGTATGAAAACAAGCTTCATTAACTGATTACATGCTGTATATTTATTCAAGCTTTGGTGAAAGATTGATTTCTATAGTTTCTTTTTCAGTTGGTTGGCTAGAAGCAGGTCCTTTAAAATAATTTAAATAGAGTTTTTACAAATAATTGAATATACATAGTTATCATTTCAGAGGTAGGTTTTAAAAAAGGTTTTTAGATTTACATACGAGACGATCTTTTAAAAATAAAAGCGAAATCTTAAGAGTGAGAAAAAAAAGGAAAGTACCTCAACTGTTGTAAAATACAACATTTAAGCAAAGCATCTTGTTTACTTGCTGGCTGTGTTGGCGTGTGGATGGTGATAAAGTGAGGTATTGGTGGGGTTACTGAGACATGACGAGAGGCAGCGATGGCTGACTCAACCTTTCCTTCTCCACAGCCAGAGAAACAGGCGAAGCTCTGTGTGAGCTAGCAGCTCCAATCCAAGTCTGTAACTGTGCAAAGCTTAGACTCGACCTAAAGGAAGTGATCATTTAATGATCTGTGGCGTGTGACTGCCAGCGTACAGCGAGTGAGAGTGCCACTCTGCTCAGTGACTGACAGCATGTTAAAGTCTGACACTGTCAAGATGTGGAAACAGGCATTGAGACTTGGACAGCAGTGCAGTTTTTTTTAAATGTTGGTATAAAACTAGAGGAAGGCCACAGTATGAGCATTGTTATTTAGTTGCATGGAATTATTACATTTTGCATTTTATTTAATTTGAATGAGTTTACTAGAAACCTACAATCATTTATAACCCATAATATCATGCCGGTATCTTTCGTGCAACACAGTGACCACCCAGACTGTTTTAACGTTTGGCCTGAGATGAGTTAAACATTAATCCACCCAGGAGAGACATTAGGATGTCATTCAGAGCAGCGACTTCGTTTCTGACCGTGTCCAGGTGAGTGCGCTGATGCTTGGCGCGGTCGCTGGAGTTGCTGAAAGCTTTCTGGCAGCCGGGGTGCTGGCAAAGGTACGGCTTCTCTCCTGTGTGGCTCCTCAGGTGGATCTTCAGGTTCTCCAGACGTGAAAACGCTTTGTTACAGCCCTCGAACTATGGAGGAGGAAAGAAAGATACACACGGGGGACGGAGGACACAGGAATGCACGCACACACACACACACACACACACACACACACACACACACACACACACACACACACACACACACACACACACACACACACACACACACACACACACACACACGCACACACACACAAGGACAACCATAGTTAGACAGGTATGCACCGGACCACACAAGAAAATAAACAGACACCCACATGCATGCATGTGTGCACATGGAGAAGTACAGCCGCTAACACAAACACACACAGCAAAAAAGATATCAATCAGTATAAATCTGGTACATTTTTGCTACAAAGTGGGGTCTGTATACGTGTATGTCTGTGACTCAGAAAGAAGCTGTCCCACTCATCCCTCAGTCCCTTGATCGCTGGGAGAGCTGGAGGAGTTCATTCTACACCACATATTCACCAGCTATGGAAAAGTGAGAGACGCTTCAAACATGGTTGTTCTAATCATGAGCTTTTTTTTTCCATGGCTCTTGAATTACGTGGCCAATTAAAGGAGCTTTGTTGAAAAAGCACGTCTACTTGAAAGACAGTGGTTAGCTGACAGTACATCTATCTCAAGGCTGCTGCGGCTGCATCTAAATTGCAGGGGAAAGTGTCACCGTACAGGTAATGGGCTGTAATGCATAGCATGAGATAAGTGCTCTGCTGTGTAGAGTATAGTGCATTAGACTGACAAGTGACAGTGACTGTAAACAAGCTCGTATCCGATCCAGCTCGGCCCATTTGATCCAAAGCACTCAGCCAATGAACACCACAGATTTGTTAACAAGTGAATGATTCATGAGGCCTCTCAAGTATCCACTCCTGCTCTGGAGCAGAATATACAGCTGATTGGTTGATGAGGCGGTGCATGTCAAGACCCCCAGCAAGAGCTGCTGTGTAAAGAGTTACAAAGTATATGGGTGTATAGTGGTATGGCAAGCATAGCTAAATGCCACTTACACCTACCTGAGGTTAATCTAGCTCAATATGCTGAGACTTAACTGTCAAGGATTACAATAGGAGCAGCTGAGGAGCTCATGTTAGCAACCTTCCTCTCTGCATCCCATTTATATGGCAACACACAAAGACTTCTGCACGAAATGCAGATACAGATTATTTCTATTTTGCTTTGTACTTTCAACATTTCCGTTTCTGATAAAGACCACGCTTGTTTTAAATAAATGTAAAGTTAAGAATTGTCTAATATTCTTTTCTTTTATTCCCTATAAACAATTGTTTAGAAGTTAAATCATTAACTGGATCTTCTGGTAAAGGCTTTAGAGTCTAGGTACTGTGTCCCTCAGAGGTTTCCCATCCTCTGGAGAGGTTCTTGCATGGAAAACACCATTAATGATACGTTTTGAACGTATCTTTGGTGTCCCTATGGCAGGGCTCAGACTACAAGAGTTTTCCATTCAATATTGGGTTGCATCATTCATTTTAGAAGAAACCTCGTAAATATATTCTTCTCTTATCTCAAACATGAACAAACAAATACATTCATAATAATGGTGCATCACTCACTACAGGGGAAATAAGAGTACCATGTGTGCCTTGTTAACTTTTCTTAACTCCTCTGAATTTGTATGATCTTATGTGATCATTTTACACGAGGAACATTTGATATTAAGGGGACTGCTACTTTTAGTTTGTGAGCCATTCCTCAGGATAAAGATTGGGATAAAGAGAAGTCAGATGTCTCTCCTGATTTTCCGATAGTGTGAAACAAGAAACTCCTGTAGACATTTAGCGGCCTGAGTTATAATATTAAAAAAGATGCGAGACAGCAATGCAGAATTGGAAAAAGTGTAATTATTGTTTTTTAATGTGTATATTTACAATTTTCTTAAAGATATGCATAGGACGATAACTGCAGGATTCAAGACATGTAACTGAGATTAGAACAGTATTTAATGAACTCTAGAAAAAGAGGGGTATTTATTTGATGTCACAAGCCTTAAAAATGAGGTTTCGGGAGGCCTCGTTCTGGAAACAACAACAACAAAAACAACATTATGCAACACATCTGAGTTTAGACCCTGAAGTGATCACTTAACTATCACAAAAGGTCTTTTAAAATACTGGCTTATCCAGCCTTGATCTTCCCTATGACTAATTTCTTGCAAAGGCCCAAGCTGACCTCATGGACAAACTGTTGCAGCAGTCTCTACTGTCTATTGTATGCTGACCTTTAGTGAAGCCTGCTGACAACAGGTCGGATTACGGCTAAGAAGAGAGGGACATCATTCTTCTAATGGGCCTTCAGCTTCATTGAGGCTCACTACTCATCCTCCTCCTCTCCTTCATTCACTCAAACAGCCACAGTCTCTTCTATTCACTGAGGTTCCATTTAATATAGACGAAACCTAAGCCAGCCATGGTAGAGCCGTGTTGGGTGACCAGGGTGATCTGTGGGTGGGTGTTTGTGTCTGTTTGGTTCAGTATGAGTCTTGATCTGCCCGAATATAGATTCACATCCCTCAGCTCCAATGTAGGTAAAACAAAATCAGGAGGAAACTAACAATTTCAATAAGTTGGTTAAGTTGATTTTTGCTACATATAGAACTGGATGGACATATGAGTACTTAGAATTATAATGATGGTTCAACAATACCTCAAAGAGATAACATAGCTTAAAATGTTACCCTTCAAACAGAATAGGTCATGTTATCATCAATGCATATTTCTTAAGTCAATAAGACAAAGATGCTCACAAGGACAATTAACTAAATGAATACTGTTTAAATCCAGAACTATTGGGTTTCATCATAAGATGTAAGATTAAATAAAACTGAACAAGACCAAGAATATTTCTACTTTTTAGGTTAGGCAGTTTTTTACACTCAGTGGTACAAAGACATTTTGAATGTGTAATCAATTAAACAGAGTTAATTCTAAGATATCTCTGGATCATTGTATAGCGTAGTGTAAGTGAAACTGAGATGTAATCAGGAGAAGGGCATGTCATCAAGACTGACTTCTTGACTAGACATGAAAAGGAATATGAATTTGATTCCTCAACACTCACATAATCTGTCTAGACTTCAGCATTCAACCATGGAAAACGTCTCAAAGAGTTTGCATTTTACAGTGTTGTACAGCGGAAACATATTATTCTAAAGTGATGCCAATCAAATGTTACGGATGGAAAGGAGAGCCACAGCGAGGGTGGGAAAGTTTAATAAAAATCTCAGTGCAGAGGAAACATCCACACTGTCGTACCAGCCATGACAGACATGGCCCATGCTGGCTGCTGAAATACGGCGCCAGGCGTTTTGAGTTTGGAAAACAAACATGGCTATTATTGATGTGCCAAATGTGTGTATTTATGTATTGGAGAATAATCACTCTTTCATTGCTTTCTTTTCTGCAATACAAATTTGAGGCTAAATTATAGTTACGGGTCCGTGGAGGAAACCGTGTTAATCGTGTAGAGCATATTATTACTCTGACGGCTGAGAGGGAGGCTTTCCTGCCTTCTGGAAAACCAATAGGCACTGCTACCTCAAGGCATGGACATTACCCAGAACCTTGTATGAAAAATTTCATGCCACAGTGAGATGTTTAAACATCGCCAATAATGGAAAAATGGGTTAAAACGACTTTTTTGTGTGATTTTATGGGCTGTCAAAAGCCTTCTATTGATAGGATGTTGAGGAGATGCATTGTTGTGCGGTTAAATTCTAGCTCTGTGGTCTTTTTTTGGTAAAAAGGAAAAGGGGTGACGGCGCAGACACATATGAAGTTGTTGGTGATCTAACTAGATTCCCGAAAATAAGCGTAAAAAAAGTATAACGGAAAAAAAACAAAAATAACCCAAGAAAGCAATCATGTGAGTAGGTTTCCTGTGTGCTCCATGAGAAGCTGCCTTAAATATTAACAGTTTACAAAGCTATGCACATGCACGCTACATTTAAGTGGGTGTAAACAGAGTTGAGGTGGCTGAGGCTGGTGACACAGGATTGATTTACCTTTGATATATCTATGAAAACAGTTTAGACAGCGCTAATCACATTAATTGCTTTAAACATGTTTAGTTTTCCTTCGTCTAAGGTAAACCAGCAGATCACCACAAGAGGTGGAGTGACACTTGCAATGTGGAGTGGATTTGAGTTCCTTTTGACACCGTCTCACTCTTGAGTTGGAGTGGGGGGGCTTCAGTAGCTCAGTAAACATATTAGATGACAGCCAGCTTTGGATACGGCTGAACAGGGCTAGAGCGGCTTGAGAGGCTGGAGGGGCAGCTGATCACAACAGACAGATTATGGGCCCAGCATGCAGGCGAGTGGTGGAGTGAGCCTGAGGCCTTCATGGGAAATGACTCCTGACTGGCAGGGAAAAGGCCAAACAGTGTTGGGGCTAAAAGGCAGCAGTGTATGGCGCTCCTCACATGCAGCGGCTCATTAGCAACCTGCAGGAGTTGAGAAAGATGGAAACAAACCTGCCGTTATAGAGTGTTGTTGGGTGAAAAAATGGCTGCTGACAGGACAGACATCTGATAAAAAGCTTGAAAAAGCTGCATATGAAGAGAAATACAGATTTGAGAGAATCTGAGATGATTGTGCTTCATCACCTACAGGGGTCTTTAACCACCAAGATTATGATCAAATGTCTTCTTTCCTAATGGTTAAGCTTTTCTAGTGCTTCTGCAAAGCTGCAACATCTGGTGTAGATACAATTCTATGCAGAAATGCAAAAAAAAAGTCCATTACCGCAGGTGTCCACAAGAGGCTGGCAAAAAAAGAAAAGAAAAAGAGAATCCCTATTATAGCCCATACCTTTTTTAAAAGGGAAACAAGCATGTTAACAGCGCGGTAGAAAAAAATATTTTTTTGTCCCTTTATGTCTTTTTGGCACAAAGTGTATGAGGGTTGAATGCTTTACAACTCATCTGTTATTATCATACTGAGGCTAAGAGTTATGCATAATTAAGCATAATAAGGATCAATGCTGATTTGACTGACAGGTGGGCAC